ACCAGCATGGCAATCTCTACAATGGTATTTTCGACTGCCTCTGGAAGACGATTTCAACGGAGGGCGTGCTCAGCGTCTACAAAGGCTTCACAGCACACCTGGCTCGAATATTGCCACATACCATTCTTACATTGACACTAGCAGAGCAGACGAACAGGCTCGTACGAGGAGTCGAAAGCAAGATCCTACCGAAATCCCTCAAGGAGAACCTTTGACATGCAGGATCTGACTCGAGCCGACTTAGCGTTGCATTACACGGCGTTGCTTGGGAGAGGCATTCATCCACAGCTTGAGAGTTAGAGGAACATGTTTTCTGTAATCAAGGCGGATCCCACATTGGTCCAAGCATCTGGAGGTTGCTGTGTCCATATATCACAATCAAAGTAAAATTGACATCTTGACCTGGGCATATCATGTGTCCTGAAGAGGAGCTTTCTGTGCCCTGGACATTCTTATCAGAATGTTCCGGTGACCATGATGCATATCGCCTAGAAATATCCTGGGATCGGGCTGGTTGAGCTTGCCAATAGCGACATTCCTTCTGTAGATTTTTCTGGAGGAGATGAATCGGAGATGCGTTGCTGGCCAGGTACAGTGTCGTGCCCAGCCGGCTTAGATCCTCACCTACCAGCAGGGCCGGTTCAGTCCAAGGCTGGGCGCCGGCGAGGCCGATCTCGGACGACCGCCTGGTATGTACTTACCAAATAGATACCTATCGAGTATCATCGGGTACCCTGCAACCTATTACCTACAAGTAGCTCGTTAAGCATGCACCCCTGCTCACTCAACACCTATTCGGTGCCTACTCGATGGACATAGGCGGCAAAGGGACCAAGCAACGTCATAATAGATCACATTTAATCACATGTACAGACTGAGATTCCCACGCCACGTGAAAGTATTGCACAAACTTCAGGCAGCTGTCTGGCAGAATGGGGTAAGATGGGTGAAATGGCTAATAGGAAAGGGCCTTCTCTCAAGCCCATCTGAAGACATTGTTCAGCATTCCGTAAGAAGTCCACTTGGCAAAGACTCTGCGGTTGCAATCACGGTGCATTGTTGTGATGGAGTGGATCAACCCTGATCAACTTCGGCGCAGACCAGCACTGGAGTGGCACTTTCGCCCCAGCCCGCCAGAACACGCATAACACGCTCGCTCACCTTGTCGCGGTCCACGCTCTAGCGCGTCCGGCTTAAATACACCCAGCAACCAGTCTACATCTCCTTCCCATTGACATTTCTCTTTCACCTTTGCACTCAACAACCACGGCAACTTCTACCTTATTTTGCCTAACTACCATCCGCCTCTTTGTTCTCTTCCTGCTTCGATTGCATCATTGAACAATGACGACCCAGCTTACACCGTCGAAACAGGTGCGTTTGCCACTTGCATCATCTACTTTGCTCAACCATGTACACATTACTAACATATACGCGCAGGCGGCTGCAAGCCTGGAGAGCCTCAAGGTCAAGGATAGTCCTGTCAAAAAGCTCAACTTTAATGCCGAGGACAAGGAAAACATGCCTGTCGCCCTCGAGTCCACCGAGCCCACGGCCAAACCCGAGTCAGAGATCGAGAAAAAGTCTGCCACAGAACCAAAGGAGAAGATTGAGCAGTCCCAGGTCCCCAAGACCCTCAAAGAGCTTGAAGCCGAGGAGCCTTTGCTACAGGAGAACCCCCATCGCTTCGTCCTCTTCCCTCTGAAGTATCATGAGATAGTACGTGTCGTGCCTGCTAGCACAGTCCTTCTATGTCTTTCCCAATCACGCCACTTGACGCATCTAGAGAGCTTCATAACTAACGCATTCTCACAGTGGAACATGTACAAGCGTGCAGAGGCCAGCTTCTGGACGGCGGAAGAAGTCGATCTCTCCAAGGACCTTCACGACTGGCACAACCGCCTCAATAATGACGAACGCTATTTCATCTCCCACGTCCTTGCTTTCTTCGCTGCCTCAGATGGCATAGTTAATGAGAACCTTCTCGAGCGCTTCAGTGCCGAAGTGCAAGTACCGGAAGCCCGTTGCTTCTATGGGTACGCAGTTTCCTCTCGCATCTTATGGTCACAACGCTAATAGGTGGGAAGGTTCCAAGTCATGATGGAGAACATCCATTCGGAGATGTACAGCCTTCTCATTGACACGTATGTGAAGGATCCCAAAGAGAAGACATATCTCTTTGACGCCATTGACACAATCCCATGCATTCGCAAGAAAGCAGACTGGGCTTTGCGATGGATCGCAGATAAAGAGTCGAGCTTTGCCCAGCGGTTAGTTGCTTTTGCAGCCGTCGAAGGCATCTTCTTCTCTGGATCCTTTGCAGCGATCTTCTGGCTCAAGAGCAAGGGCCTGATGCCCGGCCTCACTTTCTCCAACGAGCTTATCTCCCGTGATGAGGGTATGCATACGGACTTTGCATGCCTCTTGATGCAACATCTCAAGCACAAACCCGACCCAAAACTCATCGAAAACATTATCACCGAAGCTGTCAAGATTGAAAAAGAGTTTCTCACCGATGCCCTCCCCGTCTCATTGTTGGGCATGAATTCGAAGCTCATGTGTCAATACATCGAGTTTGTCGCCGACCGCCTGCTCCTCGCCCTGGGCAATAAACGATACTTCAATGCCCAGAACCCATTCCCATTTGTAAGTACTCTCCTATGTACCCACCGCTGAAGGACGAAAATGCTGACTTTGAAATCTTTAGATGGAGAACATCTCTCTTGCCGGCAAGACAAACTTCTTCGAAAAGCGCGTCGGCGACTATCAAAAGAGCGGTGTTATGAGTTCAACCACGAAGAAGGCAGAGGAGAAGTCCACGTCACCCAAAGAGGAGAAGACAGAGGACGAAAGCAACGGCATCAGTTTTGACGAAGACTTTTAGATTATATTGGATCTCTCACGACGATATCTTTTTCCTGTTTGTTCCAGGCGTCTTATCGGTACACGAAGGAAGGAAACCTGGAAGGTGGTTCCCCTTTCTCCACTTGTTATACCCATTTTCCACACCCGTCATTGTCATCAAGAACGACAATGGCAGGTTCAACTGGTCCTCGGCAAAGAAGGCAGGTGTATGGCTAGTTTCTGTTGAACTGTTTTGACAACGGTGTGCCTTTTCCCCGTATGCATAGGTCAGCTAGAGAGGGTCTGGTGGGTCCTGCTTTTTGGTTAATCATGAAGAATTCATAGCGCGGTGAACGGGAACGCTGTACGAGATACATACTAGTGCTCTGGACGAGAAATACAATCATAACTGGAATTGCTTTGTTCTTATCTCACATAATTTCGTTCGCAAATGCAGGGAGAAAAAGCCCAGCCCTGCATTGATTCCCTGTGAGAAGCGAGTCTGTCGGCTCGGTGAATATTTGATCCACAGCGCTGGCATGAAAATGCTTGTGCGAGACCATCACTCCTTGACTGCTTCAACATCTCTCCTGGAGGACGATTCCAATCCACGACGCCATGACCGGCGAGGGATTTGGGCCGTCTATTGGCGTCGTCCGGAATTGTTCAATCCATAATCTCTTGTTCCTGTCAAGTGTGAGGATCGTGATAGTCACTCTTCAACTGTTTGACCTTGACCGGCACTCATCATCTTTCCCGCAGTGACCATGATGCATAGCCAAGCTGACCATTCAAGAACAGATGGAAATCGGAGGGATTTGAAACCAGACGGTTCAGCATAGACATCACTTCTTTCCTTTCTTCTTCTTCCCTTTCCCACCTCCTGCGCCATGTGTTACAGCTGGCGGGGCTGTCACGACCTTCTCCTCAACCTTGGTCGTCACAGCACTTGATCCACCGTCGATATCCATCTTTTCTCCATCCAGTGCCGTTCCAGCCCCTGTCACTGCAGAAACAGCGGCAGCAGGCATTTCAATGACCTCCCCCTTGGCCAATCTTCCTAATCCGTTCAGTAATCTCCCAACCTCTGCCGCCTTGTCGGTTTGGTATTTTAAGCATATTCCGCTGTCTGGGTGGTATGTTTTCAGAGTCAGGACGGCAGAACGCTCCCGCTTGCTCTGAGGTTGTGATGAGGCAAGGATGGCAGCTGTTGCTGTTGAGTCTGTTGTGGACTGGCCAGAAGCAAGATGATCTTTTCCATCGGATCCCTTAGGTTTAGACTTGGCTTTTGTATTGGGTTTTCGAGGCAGGGCGTATTTTGTCGTGATTCGTGCTGAAGGGTACGCTTGGATGAGGAGTGAGGACTGGTGCAGGTAGGTATGCAGATCTGTGAAGTAGGTCATCTCTGGCTTCGGAGACGCCCCGTGTCTTCTTTTCCTCGGCCCTCAGGATGGAAACCCTTGTCGCGCGAGAGCTCGTAGGGGATTTGTGGTGTGATCGATTTTCGCGCAAAGTGTGATGTTGCAAACTCTCAGTCGGTAGGTATGGTGGGTATGTTTCGAGCAATGACGTCACTGAGCTTTCATTGTCATCTGTCAGCTAATCTCATTTCGCGCGCTTCAAAAGGTCAATCTCTGGGAACATCGGTTCGGTGTCTAACTGCTTCGATTAGTGAAATAAAGAAACATAGATGCGGGGCTTTGTGAACATACCGGAAACCGGAACTCGGAAAATGTCTTGGCGGCGTGTAGGCGGAAAAGAACTAGCTATATCAATTGGTCGACAGTGAGGTCACGTGTTGATGAAGTAACCACGGCCGCCTTTACCCGACACGATATACGACCGACCTATCAGCTTTTCTGCGGACTTCGGAGATGGAGCGAACCCGACCATATCATACGACAAATGTGTTCCAATATGAATTTCCATGTTCTGGCCATTATCAGAAGACTGAAAATACCGGGGAGAAAAAACATGCACCATGGGCTTTCAGTCGGAGGCATTGCGGCCGAGGCTAATTATGCAGTCCGTGAGCGATTTGGCGGGCCCGAACGTAGGAGCATTTATGGGGGACAGTGTCGTGCACGACACCTTTCCACTATGGCTGTATTGGTTTCTTCTTTGCAAGAACAAAATTGAACTTTGTCATACCCTCGATGGCGTCAAGTACTCAAGGCCAGATTGACCCTGAAGACGACGAAAACCTTGTTTCTGGTTCGAGGTCCCATGGGGATCCTCCAGGTCCGGGCTCGGATGAGAATCTCCAGCATACACCCAGCAATGAAAGTAGCTACGAACCCATCATGGAAGCTGACCGTGCTGAGATCACACGTGTTGCGAGCGAGTTGAAGGTATTTCTCCCTGGAAATCGACGGAATCATTGTGAATGCTTCTCAGTTCATCACAACTGATTGCGATGCTGGACAGCGCGAAAAAAGTTACGATCCGACTCTGGATCCTTCTGAACCAACCTTCGACATATACAAATGGGCCAAGATGGTCATGCGAGAAGCAGAAGGCGCAAATATCAAGCTACGTCGTGCTTCAATCACATTCAAGAATCTGAATGTATCAGGCTCCGGGATCGCCATGAACCTCCAGCCGACAGTCGAATCATATCTTCTTGCTCCATTTCGCTTACGCGAATGGGTTCGATTCGCGAAGAAGCCCCAGAGAAAGATTCTTACTGGCTTTGATGGCGTTGTCAAGCCTGGAGAGATGCTGCTGGTCCTGGGACGACCTGGCAGCGGATGCTCGACGCTCTTGAAGACTTTGGCAGGAGAACTCCATGGTTTGAAAGTGGGAGATGACTCCGTTATCCATTACAGCGGTATGCCTAGCCTCCTTTCTTCTGCTTATGGTCCATAGCGATCTGATATCTGGACAGGAATACCTCAGCACCAGATGATCAAGCATTTCAAAGGCGAGATCGTCTACAATGCAGAAGTCGACATACATTTCCCACATTTGACGGTCAGACAGACCCTTGAATTTGCCGCTGCCATGCGTACTCCACGGAACCGGATCTTGGGAAGTTCTCGAAACGAGAACGTCAAGAGAATGACAGCCGTCGCAATGGCAGTTTGCGGATTGACCCATGTCCAAAACACGAAAGTAGGAAATGCATATGTACGAGGTGCATCTGGGGGAGAGAGAAAGGTGAGCCGCCTCTTTTCTTATAACTTTGTACACTGACCCCTCTCGAAAGCGAGTGAGCATTGCAGAGATGCTGCTCTCGTTCTCACCTATAGGCTGTTGGGATAATAGTACACGTGGTCTCGATGCTTCCTCTGCCATCACATTCGTTCGTACTCTCAGATTGAGTGCAGACTTGGCCGGCTCTGCCCACGCAGTCGCGGCTTATCAAGCGTCTCAAGCCATGTACGACGTTTTTGATAAGGTTGTGGTTCTGTACGAAGGGAGAGAGATCTATTTTGGCCCAACCAAGTTTGCGAAGGATTACTTTGCAGAGATGGGTTGGTTCTGTCCAGCTCGCCAACCGACACCCGACTTTCTGACCTCAATCACAAATGTGGAGGAGAGGAAAACGCGACCTGGATATGAGAAGAAGGTCCCGCGCACTGCGATCGAATTTGAACAATACTGGCGGAAATCGGAACTTTACAAATCCCTCCAACAAGAAATCAGGACTCATGAAGAGGAAGATTATGGCTCCGCCGCTGCCGATGAATTCAAAGTCGCACGCCGCGCGGCCCAAGCACACCATGTCCCTCCAAGTTCTCCGTACACCGTTTCTACGCCGATGCAAATTCAGATTTGTACAAAGCGAGGCTTTCAGCGCTTGTGGAATGAGAGAGTGATCCGACTCACCTTGATCATTGGACAAGGAAGCATGTCCCTCATCATCGGCTCCATTTTTTACGGAACGATAAACGACACCAATAGTTTCTTTGCTAAGGGTTCCACCATTTTCTTCGCTGTGTTACTGAATGCTCTTATTGCCGTTACGGAAATCAATCGATTGTACGACCAAAGACCAATCGTGGAGAAGCAAGTCTCATACGCGTAAGTATTACAAGGCTATAGTGACTTTCTAAGCACTTGGCGATTCTCAACCGCGTATGTTCTCCCAATAGTTCGTGCTAACTTGATAGTAGTTTCTACCACCCATTTACAGAGGCTCTGGCTACTGTAATAGCGGATTTTCCAGTTCAACTCCTCACAGCCGTGATCTTCAATATCATTTTATATTTCCTATCAGGCCTTAGGAGGGAAGCGGCACAGTTCTTCATCTTCTTTCTTTTCGCATTTCTGACACGGCTGGCAATGACCGGACTGTTCCGAACGATCGGTGCTGCGACCAAGGCAATCTCTGAGGCACTCGCAATCGCCGCAGTTGTTGTCCTGGCAATAGTGATCTACACCGGGTTCACAATACCTCGACCAAATATGCACCCTTGGTTCAAGTGGCTTTCGTGGTGCAATCCGGTGGCATATTCATTTGAAGCAATGCTCGTTAACGAGTTCCATGGAAGGCAATTTCCATGTGGCAGGTAAGCTGTTGTCTGGTTCATTGTTTGACCCTCTACTCACTATGATCACAGCTACGTTCCTGCATATCCGAACCTAGTTGGGAATACATTCATTTGTTCGGTTCCGGGCGCGGTTGTCGGCCATTCAACTGTATCTGGCGATACGTATCTGGAAACAGCTTACCGGTACAGCTACAGCCACATTTGGCGAAACCTTGGCATATTGATTGCTTTCTTGGTTTTCTTCATGGCCTCCTACTTGGGAGTATCGGAAATCAACTCAAAACCCCAAGGCAAGGGAGAAGTTCTCCTATTCCGACGTGGACATGTACCACGTTACATTGAGGAGGGCCTGAGATATGAAGACCAAGAATATCCCGATGCTCCCCTCGCAATAACCGGGCGTCAAGGCACTCAAGATGAAGATATCGGGGCAATCCCACCGCAGAAAGCCATCTTTACTTGGCACAATGTCAACTACGATATTCCAGTCAAGGAGGGCACACGCAGGTTGCTCGACCAAGTATCAGGATGGGTCAAGCCTGGAACGCTAACTGCTCTTATGGGAGTATCAGGCGCTGGGAAGACGACATTGCTGGATGTGTTAGCCCAGCGCACCTCGATCGGGGTTGTTACTGGCGACATGTTGGTGAACGGAAAGCCGTTAGACCTAAGTTTCCAAAGGAAAACAGGTATGAAGTGGTGAAAAGGGCTTCCAGCGCAATGCAGTTCGTGAGCTAACAAAATGACAGGGTATGTTCAACAGCAGGATCTCCACCTCGAGACCTCGACTGTTCGTGAAGCACTGCGTTTTAGCGCCATGGTCCGTCAACCTAAATCTGTCTCAAAGAAGGAGAAATACGAATACGTGGAGGAGGTGATCAAAGTTCGTTCATCATCTTATTCAAAGGCTCATTGACGTGCTGATGGTATTGAAGATGATTAATGCGGAAGACTTCGCCGAGGCCGTAGTCGGCGTGCCGGGAGAAGGCCTTAACGTTGAGCAGCGCAAACTGCTCACAATAGGCGTGGAGCTCGCCGCAAAACCCGCTCTTCTGTTCTTCCTTGATGAACCGACCAGTGGATTGGATTCCCAAAGCTCCTGGTCCATCCTCAGCTTCCTCCGAAGGCTTGCTGATCATGGACAAGCTGTCCTATCGACTATACATCAGCCCAGCGCTCTTCTGTTCCAGGAATTCGATCGGCTACTTTTCCTTACTACGGGAGGACGGACTGTCTACTTCGGCGACATCGGTCCCAACTCGCATACCCTAACTAGCTATTTCGAGAGGCATGGAGCTAGGGTGTGCAGCCAGTCGGAAAATGTGGCAGAGTACATGCTGGAAGTTGTCAATCCTGAAACAAGTGCCCAAGCCAATCGCGACTGGGTCGAGATCTGGAGATCAAGCGAGGAGAACAAGAATATGCTGGCAGAGTTGGCCCAAATCAATCGGGAGACAAGCAAACTCCCCGCGGAGGAGAGCACCGTCGAGAGCCATCGTCAGTTTGCCGTGCCGCTTTACACCCAGACTTATCACACGACGATCCGCGCCTTTCAGCAGTATTGGAGAACTCCCGGCTATGTTCTGCACAAGTATGGTCTTGGTGTTGCTTCAGCTCTGTCAGTTACGATTCAACAGCAGCTTCAATGGAACAATTGCGCTGACCTGGTATAGGTTTATTGGCTTCTCATTCTGGCAATCTAACAGCTCTCAACAAGGGCTTCAGAATGTTTTGCTCAGCGTCTTCATGCTTACGTCGATATTCACGGCCTTGATTCAGCAGATTATTCCTCGATTTGTCATTCAGAGGTCACTCTACGAAGTCCGCGAGCGCCCGTCAAAGGCTTATTCATATGTCGCGTTCCTCTTGGCCAACATTCTTGTGGAGATTCCCTACCAAATTCTGCTTGGCATCATGGTATATGCTTCCTATTACTACTCGGTCTTTGGGTGAGTCACTAGAACATTGAATTTCTGAATGCGCTTCGCTAAAACGATCACAAGCATCCAATCTTCCGAAAGACAAGGCCTTATCCTACTATTCTGCGTCCAGTTCTTCGTGTATGCAAGCACCTTCTCCCAGATGGTGATCGCAGCTCTGCCTGATGCAGAGACCGCCGGCATTATAGCAACACTCATGTTTGCCATGTGTGTGATATTCAATGGGTGAGTACATATCCGTGGCGATCCTTTAATTGTCCTCTGCTAATGCTGTCCTTCTCAGCGTGCTTCAGCCACCGGATGCACTGCCGGGTTTCTGGCACTTTATGTACCGTGTAAGCCCCTTCACCTACATTATCGATGGCATTGTGGCCACAGCGCTGCACAGTCGCAAGGTCGTGTGCGCGGAGAACGAATTAAGCGTTTTCTCTCCGCCACCAAACATGACCTGCGGCCAATATCTCGCCCCCTACCTACAAGCGGCCCCCGGCACCTTGTACAATCCAACAGCGACAAGCAACTGCGAGTACTGTGCCCTGTCTCTTGCGGACCAATACTTGAGCCCTCGCGGCATCTCGTGGGGGCAACGCTGGCGCAACTTTGGTCTCATCTGGGCATACGTCGCTTTCGATCTTTTTATGATCCCTCTGCTGTACTATACATTCCGGATGAAGAAGTGGCGCGGCAAAGTCGGAGCGAGCAGAAGGCGGAGAGGGCTGAATAGGACCTATTCTTGGATCCGCACGTTTGGACGGTATTGTCGGAGACTTGTTACAGGGCGTTGGGAAAAACTGCCCCTGGAAAAGCGCGCTGAGAACCCTAGGGTGTACTAATATCATGGATAGACAATGATCTCGGAGGAGGCGGGATTCCGGCTGAATACTTAGTGCAATATCTGGGTTGCGTTAATTTGAATGTTGTCGTTGCAAAAGCGTCCACTGTTCGCTTCTGCGGCTTCGGTCCTGGCATTTTCCGGCTCATATTTCGAGATCACAGCGAATGGTTGAAATAAAATGGACCAATAACTATGCAGGCAGCCAGATGCTGTTCTTACGGAGGAGTTATTTCGTCCACAACTTCTCGTCGCCCCCCTTTTAATGTCAGCCTCGCGGCTCGATCACGTGGAGGCGGCTGAGCGCATACAAGTCGTTGCGACCACTTTGTCATCCTCTAGCATACTCCGTACTCCATTTATCGAGTAAATTCAGCCTCTTCATGACCAGCCTGATCGTCTCCCAAATCCGATTCTTGTCTGCTGCATCGACCGAGAGCTGGGCTTCAATTCGTCGGTCAAGAGCACCAGGATTGAACGGGGCGTCGCCAGCAGTCTTGCCTCGATCAAGAAAGTCCGTTTCTAAACCGTCACAGACTTGCCTTGGGTTGCTAACGTCAAGGCCTTAAAGTTGCTATAAAAGTGGGTGGAAGGGTCTAGATTGAATTTCGCTTTTCTGCTATTGGTCGCTTCATCAGTGTCTGCGGGGGAGACATCCACCGTGCAAGTGGAAAAGCCCTTGATTGTGTTGAATGATCCAGACCACGTCAGAATACTCTGGCTGGACGTTGGCTGGCGTCAAGGCTTGTACAATCAGAATGGAATGTTGACCAACTTGGCCATCCCACCCCTCTCTCAGAGGGCGCTAAACAATGCTCGGGAACAATGTGGTGGATATGCTGGGCAAGGACCACCATGCGCACATGTCAGCGTCGTCTTTTTCCTCTACAGTATCAGGCTGGCCTTATTATCCATTTTGTCTCGTCCCCGAGTAGAGTGCGACTAGTCGGAGACCTAACCCACACGGAAAAGAGCGGCTCTGACAAGGCTGCTCAGCTGAAAAGGCGATTACGAGACCAAAGCCGCGGAATGCGAATCAATCCAACGCCGCCAAAGGTGAAATACGAAACACACTCATTCCCAAGGACTTAAGCTTTCCTATGGGAAATTTTTGAATCCCTTCATTGTGGCCTCTGTTAGGCTTGTTTGTCGAACATGATCTCCATTACGAAGTCGTGGGAACACGAGGCGAATCAATGTCTCGATCTGCGTTCTAGACACGAGCTGTCAATGCCTTTCCCCGCGCCTAGGAAGGCAGCTGAAGCTCGCAAAACGTTGGACTTTATGAACAAGAACCCAATGCATTCCCCAGTATGGGGTCTATATTTAAAACCCTTTGGGTCAGGCAAGTAGAGAAACTGTCTCTCATCCCCCAAGGCACCAATTGTGCGCATCTTTCTTGACCCAGGCCCCCTTCGAAGAAACACATACTTTTCATCAACGGAATCCCCACGGTCCAGCATCCAACAGCTTGTCCACGATGGCGACCACCCCAACTCCTCCCAATGTGATGGTGGAAATCTTCCCCAAGCCGGGCAAGGCGACACGCGTGGAAGAACTTATCGCCAAGGCTGCCGAAGAAGTACGCCAGCACGAACCTTGGATCAGCTTCTACCGATATTATAAAGCCAAACACGTGGGCCCCTCGTCCGAGGCAGAAGATGAGGAATACATCATTGTTTTCCGGTAGGTATACTTTGTGCCCTTTCCCATCGGATAAGGTCGCGATGTGGTGGATATAACCTGAGAAGAAGGCCCCTATTGTGGCGATCCCACCGACTTCAGGTCACGAGGTCACATTCTGTGGGAGATCAAGACTATAACCCTTGCGAAACTTCCATTGCGCCTACGAGTCAGGCGCGGATTCTCATCGCCCTGCACATCTGGAGTTTAATGCACGGAGGCATCGCATAGAGCGTGGTCACTAGCACCTCCTTCTTCTCTGAGCTGCCAACCGGCAGAATCAGTGAACGAAGATCCTGAACTTCCCTTTGCCCAAGCCTCCTTTTTTTTTTTTGGTCGGGGTTGATCTTCAAACGATCTCATTTCGCCCATCCATTCCAAGCTAACCCGCGCTTCCATTCCTTGACAGGCTTGACGACATGTCGAAAATCCATGCTCGGCGCGAAATGCCGCACCACCAAGAAATTGGCAGAATCCTCCGCGATGAGGATCTGTTGCGCATGCCGCTGAAGTACACCGAACTTAAGGATATGGGCTTTTGGAAGCGATGAAGAGCTCTCTAGACTGGGAGAGCCTCGAGTGAGAACGACGGAGGAAGTTCAGGGGAAGAGCACAGATTGCAAGGCTCCGAATATCATTTGCATGCTGGTTGAGAGGAAAGTTGCTCCCCTACTTTGACTGTCTTCTCCCTGAGCAAAATAAGAGCGTGGACTCTTTTCTCTCTGAATGGAAGTGCTGGCTAGTGTAATGGACAATTGTCTCGTCTTCACAACTGGCATGGTCAGGAGAGTAGATTTGTCCAATTCTCGACTGCGGTTCGACGTAGGGTACACTACACAGTACAGGTAATGGTGCAACCGGTTGTGTACGCGTCCGACTACATAGTTAGGTACCCAGGTAGACAATTAGTTTGTATTTTGTGTTTATATTTCTTAGCTTCCTTGCAATCGATCTCCTTTGGCATTGTCTAAGAACTAGGAGAATTGTTTTCTATGGATGCATGGATTGCCAACAAGCTGACCATGATTCGACCCTTCAACCTCCGTCTTCCTTCCAACGAGCCACATATGAAAATTATGATGTTGGGATCGTTGTCCCACTAGATCCCACGAATACTACAAGGACAGCAGTATAGGCCGCTGTGGCTGCCAAGGCGTCTTTGTCTTCTAGTTTGGCCCCGATGGTCAATATCATCGCAAAGATCGTGACAGCCACAGATACGGCAATCAGGCTTTTGTTCTGCGATGCCTCGCCTTTTACCATGATCGTCATGGGAACAACGAACGAGCAGCCCGCCGCGAGTGCAAACAGAACCTTGGGGACTTCCTCCACGACGCGGGAATAGTAAGCCGGATATTCACCCAAATAGTGCTCATAGGGCCTCTCCCACGGCTCTTCCAAAGACCAGCTCAGTTATCTGGGCAGCCATCTTCTTAAGAACTCGCGCAGAACCCCGACCTTCTTATCCGTGTTCCGCTCGATGTTGAGATAGGTCGTACTGTTGGGTTAAGTATCCGGACGGTCGTCGCGAATTGCCAGATGATGAAACGAGCTTTTTAGTTGTTCTCCAGGTTGACTCTGCACAATTGTTCGTTTCAAGGACTTAATGTACTCGAAATTCCCTGCGTTAGAGGATTGGCTAGAGGCGCTGAATTCGTAACTCACCATAGTCATGCATAGTACTCGGCAGCTTCTAGATCTGCTCTTCCGACACACTCTCACGCTCGCTCATTTCAGTCTTTATAAGCGCCGGCTCATTCTGAAGATGGACGAGGTTCACTCTGTGGAGAGTGCTGAAGCTTCCCACTGCGAAGCTTTTGTCGTCAAACTTTTTAGAACCACACGACCATAGGTCACCCGCGTATGTTTCGCTAGGAACGGGGACATGAGTAGCCCCCAGGCCCTTTCGAAGCGCTGTATCGTTAGGGGGAACCTGTTCGGGTGTCGACACTAGAATTTGTTCCCCTGCCATTCGTCAGCGGGTTTTTGTGAGGGCTAATTCGAGTAGAGTCAGACGATACGGAACATTCAAGGGGTGCAAATGTTCTTTTTATTAGAGTTATCAAATATCAATTCCACGAGTCTATAGAGAGATTGAAACTTGAAGTTAGTCTTGACATCTGGGGATAAGTGCAGTTCAGAGTTGAGATCCTAAGATCCTGGGTACGTCGGAACGGCTCGGATGCGGCTCTTCGCAAGAGGGAGAAAAGGGGATGCGAGTCCATTGATGTCTTCTGTAGGCAGGCCTCTTCTCGATGGTGCCCTCATAATTTGCTGCCAATAAGACTGAACCAAGTGGCATGGGCGTGCACTCGGCGCACCTGAGTTGGAACAGTAGTCGTCGGTCTTTGGGAGGATGGGTTTCTGCTACCCGCTAGCGGATTTGAAGAGAGTCTCTTGGTAACTAATTCGTCAGGTTGGAGAGTGAGTGCATGTATCTGAAGGGCACCTCGAGGACAACCAGAGGAAAATGAGGTCAATGAGGGCTTGCAAGGCTCTGCCATTTATTTTGTCCACTCAGCCTTGCGGAGGTTTCACGGTGCGGAGAAGTTTGGAGATCCGCCACGAAATAGCTGCCAAGTACGTGTTGAAGTTGTCAAGTCCCAAGTATGTCTTCCCTCGTCTTCTCTCATCGTACCGAGTGTACTCGGGTCCTCGATACTGCGAGTCGAAAGTGAACTATAGCGTTTCTAACATGCCTCCCAGGCTCAAGGTCACTGCCTTTCGCCGATTCATATGCCCCGAATGCCAGACACGGAGCCGCTATCTCGATCGCCCATCTCAGTTCCGCCGCACGTTCAGGACCTCCCCGCGACGGCTCTACGCTCCATCATCGCCCCGGAGCAGCAAGCACCTCCATCTCACGAACCGCAGCATCATCCGCCTCGCCGGGCCCGACGCTGCTCTCTTCCTCCATAACCTTATCCCCGCGAAGATCCTCGACATTGGAGGGAGCACGAACCCGATCTATACGGCGTTTCTCTCCGCTCAGGGCAGGATATTAAATGACGTGTTTATCTACCCCCCACCACCTGCGGGCGGTGACAGACCTGGGGAAGAATGGTTTATCGAAGTCGACTCGGCAAGCGCGGGGCAGTTGTTGAAACATTTGAAGAAACACAAGTTACGCGCAAAGTTCACGCTCGAAAAGGTGGACGCGGAGGCGATGGGGGTGTATTATACTTGGCCGTCGCCTTCCAGCGGGGGTGGTAACGATTTAGGGAGCTCGAACCGCAGATTGAGGCCGGGCGGGCAAGATCCCAGGCCTGGAATGGGTGTCCGCTGGCTCGACGAAGTATCCTCTCATGAACCCGGCGCACTACGGCAACTGGAAGACACTGGAATTCAACAAGCTACGCTGGAAGAATACACCATCCACCGCATGCTCAATGGCGTTGCGGAGGGCCAGTCCGAGATCATCTCCGGCCACGCGCTGCCGCAAGAAAGCAACATCGATTTTTTTGGCGGAATCGACTTCTTCAAGGGGTGTTATCTGGGCCAGGAGTTGACCATACGGACGCATCACACAGGCGTGGTCAGGAAGAGGATACTGCCGTGCCAACTGTACGCCACGGACACCGAGCCGTTGCCGGCACACCAAGAGACGCCCGAGTATAAAGCCCGCGGTGTGGAAACGCCGCTTCCGCTCCCGCCTCCGGGATCAAATATCTGCAAGATGAAGACAAAAGGCCGAGGCCGGAGTAGTGGCAAGTGGCTCGACGGGGTGGGCAATATCGGCCTCGCGCTGTGTCGCTTGGAGATGATGACGGATATCCAGTTGACCGCGGACCGGACGAATTATGACCCCAATGAGCAGTACAGGGTCCAGTGGGAAGCAGCGGAAGGTGAAGAACAACAAGGGATCATGCTCAAGCCGTTTGTACCCCAGTGGCTCAGGGAGGGCGTCGAGCAGAGCCTACGGAGGAAGGAGAGGAAGGCAAAGCCCCGACGGGAAGAGGACGATGACGAGGAAATTGATTAAAAGGACGAGGTTTCGACGTCAAAAAAAGAGTTCTTGTCTTCTACGGTTGCTAAATGGATCTGTGTACAGGCTGCAAGGCACAAAGCTCTAAGATTCCTGCCTTCTGATTCCTCGAGTTACTAACCTTCACAGCTTAGCAAACGCGTCTCGTTGTAGATGGCCTCGTCCTTTGCAAAGGATCATTCTCCAGGGTGCCTGTGAGACGGATGCTGGGGATTTGATTCGTTCTTCTCAAATGTTTGGAATGAACAGTCATTGTCCCGATCCGGGCTTGCAGTTTAACACTTGGCGTACCAGAGATCAGTCAGGCTGAAGCACCGGGGCTTGATGGACTGCTAGAGCAAACTGGTCTTGCTGTGAGCTGCATTGTTTGAGGAAACAACATCTCGGAGAGACGTTTCTGCTGCCAAATTCAGCGCTTGACAACTGACAGCAACTCACTGACAAAAGTTTACCCTCTGGGCCCAGTCTGCAGCGGCTGCTTGAGACTCTCTGTCTGGGCGTAAATTGAAACTTCTGAGCAGGTCGCTGTGGCCGGGACTGGTAGAAATCATAGGTCATCCTCCACTTTCAACCGCCATCAGCTTCTTTTGTTGCGGCCCACTCGACACTTTCGATACCCTCCCATGGACCCTGTGCCACTACTTTCTTAGCTATAGCCAACGATTTGAACACAATAACAGCTGTGCCCAGTAGGACCTTTTTTTCTCTGCCTTCCACGCGGCGTTTCTTGTCTTTCAGCATCAGGACATTCTCCACATCGCCCGAGGCGAAGTTCTCTTCGAGTGCCTCTTGGTCAATATCCAGCCCATCTGCTTCCTTGATCCAGCGCACCTTAACAGACCGGTCTATTGAACCCGAAGACTGCTCTTCTTCCGCTGCTTCGGCTGCCTGTGCTCGGACCTGCGCTTCTTGAGTCTTCTGCGCCATTGCCGCCTCTCGCTTCTTTCTGTTCTCTTCAGCGATACGCTTGATCTCGAGTTCTCGCTCGGTCCAAGTGCGCTTCACGCCGCTTACAGAGGCGGGCATTCCAGCGGCATATCCCTCTCTTTTCTCCAGCTCTTCCTTCATGTGTCGTCGTCGGCTCTCGAGCGCAGCAGTCTCTGCCAGACGCCTTTGTTTAGCTTCCCGCGTCTGGTCATACTTCAACTTCTCAGTGGCGTCTGTCAGGATATTAAGCGCAGTCTGCAGCAGTTGGAACTTCTCCAAGGTCTCTGGTGTGGGCTTGACTTTGTCGGGGTGGTAGAGCAGCGAGGTTTTCCTGTAAGCACGTCGGATTTCAGACTCCGACGCCGTCGTTGGTATTGACAGCAATTCGTAATAGTCGACGGACATATCTACCTCACCCGACGGCGCCATAGTCGCGAATACGCCTGTCAGGGTGGGATTTAGGCAGTTGTCGGTGTAGTTTCGCAGGCAACACGAGGACTGAGAAGCACATGGAAGCGGCAAAGCAAGGACACAGAAAGCGTATGCTCTGCACTAGTGACTACGGCGCACCAAAAAGCCATCCAAATGTTGTGCACCCGCTTGACTTTTGCTTAACCAGCCAAACCAGACTGGCCACACTGACGAGCCTGATTCTCACCTGCTGAGAACTGGAGGAAACTCACCTTCCAAAATCGGTCAATCGAAGTCATTTAGCACTTTGAAGTTATGATGGCTCTCATGTAAAACAAGTCGTTTCTAATATGCTCTTCCCTCTAAGATGTGAAACGATGGGCGTGCCTTCCATGTTTCCTGCACAATTCTCGATTTCGCCGGCTCTTTTTCGACTCGATGACACCAATCACTGCTTGTCTTCTTCCCTGTCCTTCAGCAGCTTGCAATCCCGTCTCCTTTTCATCTCAATATGCCGTTCTCGTAATCTCTCTTAACATGAACAGGAGACATGACCACTCGCCTGAAGCCAAACCCCGATCGGAACCATCACGACCTGCCCTACCCTGCCCTGCCCACATCGCTTTTGCCGTTGCCGTGGTTCGATCGAAACCATCTCAGTTGTCAATAGAAGGTATGAGCTTGCCAGAATGAAGTGATTCTCGGCTGATCTAGTGAGGATACGTCGACCATCTCCGTCGGTCCATTGTGACTCGGTCTCATAATCCATCCACCACGATTTTCGATTTCGACGCAGGAATGTACTGGAAAAGCTGCTACCAGAAGGCTGAGTCAGAGCGCTTGAAGCTGGTTAATGAGCTGGCTCGGCTGAGACAAGAGAGAGATTCTCTCCTGGCTGGTGAGGAAGCCCAGCGTTCAAAGGGACCGTCTGCTGTTGGCAAACGCAAGCGAGAAACCCCGGTGTTTTCGACGAGAAAAGCCCTGCAAACAGCCCGACAACAAAAGATCAACCTTGACCTCGACGATGATGATATTGACTTAACAACCGAAGGCCTCAATGTACCTCTCACAGGTTCGTTTGCTCGAAAGTTCCAGGTTTGGAGAGATACTAAACTACCGTAGATCGTCAATCATTCCTTCATGGCTTCATATCTCTCCGTCACAGCCTGCGTCTGGCAGATCCCAATCAGGAGACTCTTGTGAATGCAGTCAGAGCTTCTGCCATTCCTATCTCAAGGATACTCGAAAAGTACTTGGGTGCAAGACGGAATAGTCATGCCAAGCAGGAAGACCAATCTATTAAAGACATTTGTGCGGCCTTCAGGAATGTCTACCCGTCAGTTTTGCAGGGGGTGGATCGCATCCAGCCACAGACAGGCGAGGGCGGTGAACAGTATTACCCGGCTCTTTCCGACGTGATCAAGGTGTTTCAGGCATTCTTGGGACAGCTCCATAAGTTCGCTTTGAATGAAAACCACAAACGAAAGCTTGCAACCAAAGCGAAGAGACGGGGATCTGCTCCTACACGTGAGATACCCATCCGCGGATTCGGGCTGATCGGTGAACGAGACGAGGCCAAAGTCAAAGATATAATTCGGACGCTGCTGAAGATGATAACGGCGCTTGATGTCTCTAGCGATGCTCAGTGTGAACTCCTGGAAGGATACTTGTGCACAATGCTGGACCATGTTGGCTCATCCTTGTCTCTTCTAGTTTTTACAGACTCGACTGGGATAAGCAAAGAGCAGCCAGGCCTGCTTGCACCACGTGGTCTGTTGGACGTTGCGCATATTGACGGGGGGTCGGCAGTAGGTACCGCTACAGTTGAAGGACCATACCTTATCTGGATTCTGCGCAAGGCTATGGACTTTTTGCTTGCAAACACCAAAGAAATGTCTGAAAAGTCTCAGCTCCTTTTTGCCGTGCAGGAGTGCGACTCAAAAGCTGTGGCTGATGACAAAGGTCTTCGGCGGCGTATCGAAGAAACACTACAAAATACCCTTCTTCGAGGTGTGTTTGGAGATGATGACGATTCGTTCTACAACTCTCTGAGGCGTGAGGACGAAGGAGAGGAAAACGAAGAGTTGATGAAGATGACGGAGGGAATCAAAAAGACCGAGTGCTCACCGGAGTGGTTCATTGGAGAAGTTTGGGAGCATTTAGGCTGGGACATCTTATCTGGGAGAAGGGGTGCTTGAACCTTTCCTTCTGAGCGGACTTTTGAAGGTCTTTGTTGAATTTTCATGGTTGTTCAGATGTACACGAATACTGTACCAATGGAGTCGCCGTCGGACGATCGACCTCGCTGATTTGAGAGGAAATGTTATAAGTCCAAACCGAGCACTCTGATGGCATTTCCACCCAATATCTTTCTCTTCGCGTCCTCGTCCTCTGGGAAACAGCCGTCAATGGCCCCCTTGTTGCTCTCCACGCTCAACCACTTGGCTTCCTTGTCATCTCCCAACGGCGGGAAGAAAGGATGATCCGTCCCGAACATCACTCGATCCACGCTCCCTGCTGCCTCAATCGCGGCTTTCAGTCCGGGCTGGCCATATATTACCGCGTCGAGGTAAATGTTGGTATGCAGAACGTCCCATATTGATCGCTGGGGGCCTTGCCTGTGACCACCGTTGGCGATGAATTCCCGTTCATGTGCCACACAAGATTCAATCCTTCCCGCCAGGAACGGTAAGGTGCCGCCTGAATGGGCTAGAAGGAACTGCAGCTTGGGATGACGGTCGAAGACACCAGATAGATACATCCTGGACACGGCGATGGTCGTCTCCAAGGGAAAGCCTAGAGCCAGGGGGAGGACATGGCCGGACTTTGCGACGACTTCGGGACCTCCAAAGGCGGCGTCGGGCAGGCCATAGTGCGGATGTAAGAAGACCAAGGTGGCCGTGGAGGACAATGCCGAGTAGACGTCGTCCAAAGCCGCGTCATCCAAGCCGTTTCCCAGGCCTGTCGTGCCCATGATGACGCCTTTGACGTGGCGGAGGGACTTCAATCGCTGGATTTCGCTCACGATGTCCCTTGCCGGAGCGGATAAGGGGAGACAGCCAAACGCGTAGAGTTTCAATCCCTCATGCGATGCTGAGGCGTTGTTCTCGGCACACGCGGCGTCGAGGTCGTTGTTGATTTCCTGAGCTGTCTTGAGCGCGTTGTCTGGGTCGAGAAAGTCCAACCAGGGATTTGCCAGGCTGATGACGCTGCAGGAAATGCCGTGGCGGCGCATGAAGGCACGCTTCTGGTCAAAGGACGAGTACGTGCTATCGACCGGTCTCCCTCGCGAGGATTTGGGGCGCGATGGGTCGTCATCCGAGGCGAGGATGATGAGACGGGGATCTGAGTCCGGAGTTTCGGTTGGTGTTGGATGGTAGATGTAGGGGACCGTGGAGCGTGAGGAGAGGAGTTTGATGTATGAAGGCGGGTACATGTGGGTGTGAATGTCAACGACGGCTGGCCGAGGCATGTTGGCGGTCATATGTGGCTATGTACCTACCTAGTATCCAGCTACCTTCCAGCTGTGTATAGAGGAATGAAGCACTGTAGGTTGGACAACGATGATATCGAGAGTATGGACAGACACGGGCTCCTCCGCCACTAGCGACGGTGGCGAGTGTGTGTTCCTTATCCTTATCAGGCCCTTGTCCAATCGTTGTTTTCTTCGTTCCATGCCGAGGAAAGACGCCCGTCGCGATATATTTGATATAACTCACCGTCGTATGTTTTCGTTATTCTTGTGCAATCCGGCAGTCCCTCGAGGAACTCGAGTCTCTGGGTCTGCGAGTCGCCCAGTGAGCCGCACTCTGCAACGAGCACCACACGCCATTACCGAAGATTGATCCCTGCATCCACCTTGAAGCCACTTACATAGTCGAGGCAACTCTCCGGCCGCAACTGTCCGTTATACACGCACCCATCCAAGATCCTCAGGGGAATCGGGCCCACTTCAGCCTTGCGAAAGATGGGCTCAGCAGGCGATGTCGCGCAAAGGGGGGTAGAGCAAGATGATCTGGTCATGCCGGTAAGTACGGCATAGTACATAGTTATGTGCCTGTGCATGCTCCCTCCACTGAGGCTAGTGAGGCTTCATTGGAGCTGATCCATTATTATGGACACATTTGCACCACCTGCCCCTTTCTGCCCCTTTCTCGACCTCCCCATAAACACCACCTTCCCCTTTTGACCACCAACACCTAACCCCCAGTACTAACTTCTCGCAGCTGATTGACTTTGGCGCCTTCCTACACGGTACTGCCGCCGCCAAACAGGCCACCGCCGAGCAAATTTCAAAGGCCTTCAAGTCCTCGGGATTTCTGTACCTGCAGAACCACGGAATTCCCGAGGACCAGGTTTCGCTGGCCTTCGCGCAGTCGGCCGACTTCTTCAAGCGTCCCCAGGATCAGAAGGACGGCCTGAGATGGACTACCCCCGACGCCAATCGCGGCTATGTAACCTGGGGCCGCGAAAAGGTCACCCAATCCGACGACCCGGATGTCATCGCCAAACTGCGCGCCTCGAACCCGGATCTGAAGGAATCCATGGAGATCGGCCGTGAAGGGGTAGAGGGGAAGCCCAACCAGTGGCCGGCACACCTGGATGAAGCTGGCGCCGCTTTCACCCGGGACATGCAGCGGTTCTTTCTCACCTTGAAAGACTTGCACGTCAATGTCATGCGCGCCATAGCCCTGGGCATGGGTATGGAGGAGCACTTCTTCGACAGCTACACTGACGGAGGGGACAACACGCTCCGACTGCTCCACTACCCGCCCGTGAAGAAGAGCGTTTGGCGGGACAACCCGAACCAAGTCCGCGCGGGTGAACACTCGGATTACGGCTCCATCACGCTCCTGTTCCAAGACGACATTGGCGGGCTAGAGGTCAAGTCCCCCAAGGGCACGTGGGTGCGAGCCACGCCCATCCCGGGCACCATCGTGGTCAATGCGGGCGACTTGCTGCAGCGCTGGAGCAATGATCAGATCAAGTCGACCAACCATCGCGTTATCCAGCCCCCGCCAAAAAACGAGGACCTGACCGATGAAGACCCGGACGCCATGGTTCCGGCCCGTTATAGTATTGCCTATTTCTGCAACCCCAACTTTGATCGCTGGATTGAGGCCTTGCCAGGCACCTGGGAGGAGACGGGAAAGAAGTACAAGGGAATCAATAGCGGGGACTATCTAGTGATGAGGCTGGCAGCGACTTATTGATACTCTTTTCCTGGTAGGCCATTGGCTCTTTACGCGTCGATACAAGTACTCGTACACGAAGGATCGTTCATTTATAATATTCATACTCCTGCTATATAAGAAGAGTATGTAATTGGGCTACCGAATGTAGTTAGACTACATTGCGTGTAGACCTGCCCTTGGCGCCTTTCTTTACGTATTTTTACCTCCCTTTCTCTCCCAGCTAGATAACACTTGGTCCAGAGCGAAAACCCCCGTAAGACCCCCTCATGTACTTTTCAGCGACATATATCATGTTCGAAGACCAACTTCGCATCAAAGAGCCAGTGTAGCCGCCGAATCATCTTCAATCTCATGACCCAGCTAGTGTGATCTCAGGCCAACCAGCCGTGCGGATGGCTGAGCTCATAATTTTCCGTCATAATATGGAACTAGTCCGTCGTCCAGATCCAGGTCCCGCTCCGCTCAAGGTTCTCCGGCATGACGCACAGACCCGGCGTATGGCCTGGCAAATGGTGTAGCGTGATGCCTTGGAACTGGTCCAGATGGTCGTCTGCAAAGGTATTCCACTTCAACCGGTCTAGGCTCATGTAATCGACAGGCAGGCGCCGAGGTCGGTGTCCGCGGCGACGTCCCAGCACACGTGCTTGAATTTTTCCTCGTGTACAACGATGGGCACGTCCGGGTCCAGAAAGTGCCCGGGCCGGCCCGCGTGGTCTAGGTGCAGGTGCCTGATGACCACGGCTTTCACGTCTTTGATGTCGTTGCCCGTGGCCTTGACCGCTGCGAGAAGCTTGCGGTTCTCGCTATCCGCGGTGCGGGGGAAGAGATCAGTCATTGGCGCCGGCAATGCCTGTGGTTCGAGCGTGGTGATTGTAAGTTGTCGCATCAATCACACCGATGGAGGAGCAATGCACCACCAAGCACAGGAGCACAAGAGGGGGGACGACACTGCATACAATTCCAAGGTCATCCGTACATCCCATCTCAAAGAGAATGCATCCGAGGCCCGGATACTCGATCAAGGCCGCCAGAACGATCCAAAGAATGGGTCTGAAGTCGGGAATGGGGGCTCAGTGCCATCCTTGATCGGCCTGGAGGGTACCAAGATCCAAGCAGTGCGTCTTTGTTCCCGGCGGACACGTGAATGCCGCGATATTGGACGACGCCACGGGGTCTCAAACGCAGGCGGGCACTGATTTGCTCTGCCCGAGATGGATGTTTCCACTAGATGGTACTGACCGCCACCACCTAGAGATGTTCATCTACCCAAAAAGAACACTAACTACACTCCGAGTGAGGATGTAGAATTGGCCTCCTCTTCAGCACTACTCCGGGTAGCCAATTTGGCATCGGGGACCTATAATCCCCTCCATCATCTACGACGCGAGGTGAGTTCTGGGTTTACTAATCCTTGTTCTATGTACACCGTTCTTTATACCGAGCGAGGGCTCAAATCACGTTCCTCGTTCCGTGATAACGAGTTTACGACCAGGAGGTGGTGGTGGCGTCGAGAGCACAGTAAAACCCAACGAGCAGACTGTATACTAGTAAGTCCCCACCCTTTACCAGTCTTGTATCCGGGCTGCTTGCATTGGGCTCTGCCTAGTCTGCAGGTCTGAGATGTCGGACCCCGTTCAGCTTCGCCTCTAACGGTCGCTTTGCTTTTGCCTTTGAATAGACTGGGTTTCTGACTGTGAAGGAGGGGGCCTGATGAATCTTCCACTCTGGCTGCTGCTTCTCGCCCATTCGTGCCCTGAGGCGACCGACGACGATTTCAATCCGAACGCCATCCCGAGCAAAGGTCTAGGTGTAGAAGCGACATTGATTTTTGACCGGCGGATGGCTGAGCAAGTTGGGTGCGTCTTCTGAACTTGCATGCAATACGCATTCGAACAGCGAATCCCCGGAAAAGGCACATCGACGGCGTCACTCCTTGCTTTAGAGAGTAATGGAAGTTGGTAAGTGGTATGTACAGATCCAATTATGTGACTCTATAGCTGTATGATTAGGGCTTCATATGTCATCCGCAACGTGCGGGCGTGCTTTGGCCTAAAGACAGCGATTGTCCGCCAAAGATGTAGAAAGTCCGCAGGACGCCTTGTGAACCGTGAGCATCACTCTAGAAGCGATGCTCTTCTCATGGCAAGAACTCCGAGATCAGTGCCGTTGCAGTTCACCTGACCAATTCCGACCCCAGTCCCGGAGAACACGCTGCAATACTATTGAAATACCAACCATGATCCTCAATGCTGCTATCTAGCTGTCCCTGGTTACCTTGCAAATCAATCACGCCGGTGCTCACCTGGACATCATTTATCGTCACCGCGGCGTTGGTGGGGGATGTGATCCAGTATTCGGGCGAAACATGAGCAAAGATTGGGTAACCTGGCAGCTTGGGGACGATGTCTTGGGCATGGGTCACGCGGTAATTGCCGCCTGATTGGTTGGTGATGAATGTCGCCAGAAGATAGTTTCCGACCATCGGGGACCCATATGTGTACTTATTCGGTGTCAGTCAAAGGAATTGCGGACTTGGCTGATTGTTGGAAGTTGACATACCAGGGCAATGTTATAACCCGACGTTCTCAAATCAGCAGCAGCCAGGGTCGCTACCGCGCCGCCGAGGCTATGGCCCGTGGAGATAATATTGTACGAGGGGTAACTAGCTTTGGCACTGGCAAGGACACTCTGAATCTGTGGTTTGACAGTCCGCCAGGAGTCAAGGAAGCCAGAATGCGCGGTGCACAGATTGCACAGGGTCCAAGGGACCATGACCAAGTTGATGTCTGCGAGAATGTTTGAAAATGATGTGGTGCCTCGGAAAGACATCACTATCAGTTGATTCATGTGGTCAATGGCAACGAATCCTGTTGAGTCCGCTAGCCCTTCACTGTGCGTGGGAAGATGGACGTCAGCTGTGCTCAACCTAACACAGATAGAAATGGAGAGAACGGACTACACCTACTTCTGAAACTCAAGTAACGACTCTGCCTCGGCCGTTTGAACAAGAGGGCAGTTTCCGGCAGCGCAAGTAATGTTAGTATTGGATGAGGCCACATTGTTGTTCGGACAGTATGCAGCCGCGGAGTATTGTTCGAAGAATGACATTTGGCTGAGTAAATCTTGGGAAATAGCTGGAGGACATATGTCAGCCTCGTCGGTCCTCTTCATTCATCGATATCAGCAACTACCTCTTTTATCAAGTGCGAAAGGTGTGGCGTTGACAAGTGTTAGAAGCAGAAGAAGAAAGGGTGCACAAGTTGAAGCGAAGGGCATTTTGGCGAAAAGAGCGGCAGCTGTGAAATAGTAAGAGTACGAAGAAGTGAGTGGTGGCTGGCTTGGGGGCGATGCAGAGAGGGATCAAAGAGAATGTATCTAAGTAGCGAGAGGAGTAAAGGAGCAGAAGCCTTCGAAACGGCAAGCACCAAACGGCACGACTAACGGACCGAAAAGTCACCACTAAAGGAAAGCCCTCCTACAGTTGGCAGGAATGAGGGACAGAGTGAGACAAGACGGGCGGCAGCTGCTTCATATGAAGTATCGAGTTCCAGACGACAATGCAGTGTTGAGGCTGCGCCGGAGGTAACTGATACCAGAGGTTGCATCTTCCCCACAAAGCTTGAGCATCGAGCATGAAGCTAATGCATAGTCAAGCAGGGCATACAGGCTATAGAAGCTGGGGCTGGAGGACCGAGGAGGAAAATGCAATCTCGAAGAGTATGGACCGTGTAGAAATGGGGAATCTGGCCAAGATCTGGCCTGCCACGTCCCGCCAAGCTGATGCTGGTGGGAACGCATGATCGGCCAGCTCTTTCCACAAGGAGTAAAAGAGCCGTGAGAACAGCATGTGATGAGAGATAATTTTCTGGCCAACAGGAAAAGCAAGCTCAACAACCGCAAGCAGATAACTTTCCAGGCGAAGCGTTCCGTGACGTTGAATGAAGACGCGTTCAGGTTCGACGAGGCGGAGGCGGAGGCAGAGGCGGAGGAATTGATCGAATCGTAGCCGCTAAAATGAAATGAGCAGGAAGAAGCTTTTCTCCAATTAAATGCTTTGAGGACGTCAGTGAAAGGGAAGCCACTATTCCCTAAGAGGTTAGGCTGTCGATTCCCTTCAAGGGGCGAGTTTTCTTCCTCAACGCTCATCTCACTTTCATTTCACTCTGGTTCCTGCTGCCACTCATTATTCTCACTCCGTACTATCATTTCATTCCTATCCTGTTCGGATTTCAATCTACCTTTTCCGTCGGATGCAATACAGCTTTCTCTGCAAAGCAGGCCTTCGTCAGAATCGCTAGTCAATGCCTCGGCGCAGCAACTGATGCCGCGGCTCAAGTAGGTTCGACCCTTGCCCAGCTCATTTCCCCGGATCACCCTCCCACGGACCTCATCCCAGATCAGGTATGTTACACCGTTTGAGGTTCTTTTTCTCAGGCTGAGCAAAAGCGCTTGTGCATTCTCAAGAGAATAGCTAGAAAATCGACCAAATTGGACCCCCACGCTTAGGACTGTGATGCCACATTGAACACGGTGGTTGAACCTCAGGCCGTTCCTCCCACGGGCTCGCCCGGTTGGCATGGATGATATACGAAGTACGGAGTACGCTTGTTGGACTGCTGTTGTGCGGCGTCCAGGCATCTCGACGTTTTTACCATTTTCTTTACCCCGTGCTCAATGCTCAGTTCCTGAAATTGTTCCTTGTCAGCCAGTTGCATTATTGTTAGCCCTATGAGAAACACCAAGATGGTCATCACAGGTTAAGAGACGTATATACATATCTGGCTGTCGTGTCGGTAACGTTCTGGCTGACCGACACCGACAGAGCCTTATATAATACATTTGTTAAGCCCTTGGCTCGCCGTTCCTTATTAATGACCTCTCCGCAACTATTCCTCAATCTGCACTGATGATGGATCACTTTCTTTAGGCACCATTCTCCATTCATGCCTAGCAGCCAAGATGACTAAGTGTGCAAGCAAGACCTAACTTTCATTCTATGCGACAGCTTCGAACTTGCTACTGCTTAGCTGTCTCCTGCTTTTCTACTTCTGCGGATTCTACTTCTACCTCAAAGCCTGTGTCCCCCGAAGGATGATTCGATACCTTTCGAAAGAGCAATGCACTCCGACGGCAGATATTGACAACCGACCTGACCCCCATGATTGACGGCACAAGGGCTCACGCTAGCGACTGCGTCAGGCCTATTGGTGCTAGCACGCACTAACAAGTCCGCGCCTCTGTTCCAGATATAGCAACCATTTCGACCCCTCTATTAATGTAGGCTGCTTGGATTTACCTTAGTGCTGCAACTCGACAAGCAATCCTTTGACCATTCTCAGCAAGGATTTATCGAGACTACCGAACTCACTTAGATCGCGATGGCTGACCAACAAAATACGGAGAGCAACTTTCATTTCGTTGCCTTCCAAGATCCTTCAAGTGCTACGGCCCGGAAGTCGTTGGAAAAGTCCCGAGCACGTGCTCACGCTGCACGAGTTACACATTCAAGGAGAAAAGCCAAGCGTGGGCAAACGGTCGTCAAATGGATTGTCGAGGGCTCAGGTTCTCACGAGGACAACACTCAAAAGCCGGAGCAAGACAAAGTCATGGCGACTAAATTCAAGATCAGCCCGTTGTCACGTCTTTCGCAAGACAAGGTCGACCCCTTTGGGTCAAACCCTCATACCACGTTGCCGAGATATCTCCAATCAGTCCTCGATTATGGTTAGTTGACAATCTTCCTGACGGTTGCCGCTATGACTAACGCACCTGCTTCTTTGCAAGCCTATGAATGTATACATCCGAAGTTAATAACCGTCGCCTCGGCGAATGAAGTGTCGATGGTAAAGATAGCATGGAGAAGGATCGGGCAAGAGTGGCCGCTGATGTTTCACCTGCAAGTCGCCTCTGCGGCAAACCTCATCCGCGCGGACATTAAGAACGAGCGGTTTCCCAACAACATCGAGGTTCTGCGGCTGAAACACCAGGCTCGCGGCTTAGCTTTGGTGACGAAGGAGCTCCAGAACCTCAAAGGCCCGGCACCCGATTCACTGATCATGGCGATGATTATGGTGGCCAACCTGACGGATCCCAACCCGACCCAATTTCCGGAAACCATTCGCCCTTCTCCATTAGCGACCGCTCAAAACCTACACCTCTATGCCAGACTTACGGTTATTCCTTCCATGATTCAAGCACTACTGGAACTCGTCGTCAAGCGTGGCGGGATTCAAACCATGCAACAATTTGGACTCCCGCAACTTCTTCAATTGTTCGTTGACATTCCTGTCCGGTATCGTTTGAGATGCCAGCTAATACTAATGACAGCGCCGACTTGATGGTCAGCTCGAGGCTTGGTATGACCCCTTCTTTTCCGTGGGTGCTTCCACCCTTCTCCATTCTCAAAGGACCCACCTATCAGCCCGACCAGGATGCTATCATGATGTCAATGGTGATCGGTACTGGCTTCAGACAGCTCGATCCCATCGGCATGGGCCTAGCAAATGCCTTGAGAGCCGCGGGCGAGGTTACTGTCGCTCTTGACCACTACCAGCAGGGCCGACCAAACCCCCCAAACCTGATCGATATAGTTAATGCAGCAAATGAAACTCACCACAAGTTATCCGGTCTCGGGCCGAAGATGCCTCTCAATCCACAAAGGACCGACTACTTATGGAATGTTTGCCGTGTGGCCGGCCTCATCTATAGCGATTTGGTTTTGTTTCCTCTGCCACCCACGGCCGGTGTTAGACCTCGACTGGCTGGAGAACTTCTCCTTGCTATGGAAAATTTCGAAGTTTTCCAGGCGGAAGAAGCTGCCTGTCTGGATCAAGGCACTGATATGGAGGACTACACCCGTTTGCTGCTGTGGGCATTGACGCTCGGAGGTCTTGCTTCACTGAACACCCCCAACAAGCCATATTTTGTGCAAAAACTGCAGGAATATGTTGTGCGATGGCCATATATTTCCGACTGGCACGCTTACATCAATCTCATGGCTACATACTTGTGGTGGGACTACATACTCGAAGAGCCTGCGGCACAAATATGGACGGAGGTCACCTTGTCCCCTACAGATTTGTCACACCAAGGTTCGGTATTTGCAAGACCGAATCGCAACCCGTCTCCATCGGACTGGATACCGATTCCACCAGTCCAACAGAACATTTCGCCTGATTTCCATCGGCCGCCCCGTCATGGTATGCCAACACCAAGTTCTTCTGAGCAATCTCCACACCCGCCCGGGAATGTCCAAATGTGACCCTGATCGGATTTTTGAGGGCACCACAGTGTCTGCATCAAGCCTTTATGGACTTGATGATGCTGTCCACGAACACATCGGGCTGGCTCAGGAAGGGCGAATGCCCAGCTCTACACCTCAGTTCCTGCACGTCCGCCAAACCTGACTGCCTCACCATCATCTCCTGCACAGCGAGAGGCAGAGCTTGGTCGTCTTCGCAGTATAGGTACGTCACTGGAATGTCGGTGTAAGCGACCTGGGTCAGCGGAGTTTTCTGGGCGATGGTGCTATGATGTTTCAATTTCGACGCCCAATGCTTCTGTTCTTCAGCTGGCAGGTCATGATAGAACACATGCTCGGGATTAGTTGCGTTGCAGCTGCCGTCTTCCTAGAAACTCAATCTCGAGTTAATACTCCTGAAATAAGCAGGCAGCGTTTTCACTTGCCTCCTGTTTGATCCACGGAGGAAGCCGGCCACCGAGCCCACCACACAGATCTTTTCCCAGCGGCAAAAGAAATGCGCAGGCATAAAACAGTCGGACTATGCCGCCTTTTTGTCCTCGCTTCATCCTCTCAGCCTTCCCCAATCCGGTGGCTGCTTGTGTCCCTACCATCCCGCCATACGAATGCAACACCAATACAACATCTTCGCCTTGATCAACTAGTTGCTCCAGCTCGGCCCGGACATGAGCCGCGTCGTCGTACAAGGTTGTGGTTGGGGGAATGCCGCCGGTAGAAGGCTGCTGTGGACAGACCATGGTAAACCCAAGCGCCTCAAGTTTGGACTTGACCGGCTCGAAGTATACCGGACCGTGCCATGCACCGTGAAGGACGAATATCACCGGGTTAGGCGCCATTCTGGGTTTGTCGATCTTGCGAGGGACGACAATTTTTGAACAATTCGGAGGGGGCTGACGGAACCTTATATGCACCAGCGTGTCAAGCTGCTTCCTCTGTACTTCAAATATCAAAGGTCCGGAATATCGGCCCCCAGCAGCATCGAGCACCACATTATTCAGCCTTTGATGCCCGTCTGACCACCCGTGGTTTCGAATATGCGGCCGTACTAATAAGTAGTAATCATATTCAGAACCCAAACCATGCACAGCGCACACGTGATCTATGCAAGCTTGCATGTTTGCATTGGGAGACCTGATCGACACCAGGAAGCCAGTCAGGATCTAGCTACTCGAGGAGGTTTTGGATCTACGGTGCGAGCTTTTTGACGGCGGTTGGGGACGCGTGGGATCGTTCTTCTCAGATACAATTTGCCAGACCTCGGCGAGATATACTGGACGGGAGGCACTTTTGATCTCCTTCTCCCCGCCGGCGTTCGACGAGTTCGCCAGGTCCTCTTCGGAGATACCCTGAGTCAAGTGCGAGGAGAACCGGACTGTCTATTGTGTGAGTGATGAAATGCCTTGCATGTAGTGTGTGAGGGATGAGAGAGCGCATGGACATGATGCCGAGAACAAAGAAGAAACGCAGGCCATCCTATCCCAATCCCCGCTACTGCCCTCCCGATTCTCTACAGACGCCCAACCTGCGGTCCATGTCGATCCGTAACCTGTCGGTCTCAGACCTGCGATGCTCCCGGCAACCTCTCCATACATGTGCGGAGGATTCTCGGCACGTTATGGTGTTCCTCGCTTTGCGTACAGAGCAGACGAAGACTGAGTTGGCAGGCGCGGGAGATCTATGTATGTGACTTGGCTGCTCGTGTCTATTCATCGGGTGTCCAAGCTCTCATATCACCCCGTAGCCCCCTTGAATTATGTCTTGTACATCCAACCGCATAGCTCAGAACTGGCGAAGATGAGGGACTGATCAAGGCAAAAGGAAAAAGCTAAGCTCTACAGCTTGAGTTTCTTGAAGCCCCAAGTCGGCTCTCCACCCGTCTCAGTTTGATCATCGCCCCGACTATCTTTCTTCGGCTTTATTTCCTTCGTGCATTTTCGTCGTCAGAGTAGCTCCGAAGTCGACTGGATTCCCCGGTCGTTGCGTCCTGTCTCGAACCAGTTCCTTGCCGCTTGCTTAGTGAGCTTACAGGTGATGGGCCGACGACTGACGCTTCGCCAACAGGGATTGTTGTTGGTTGCTCAGCCGCTGAACCAGCGGCGGCTGCATTTCTTCTGTTTGACGCGCTTGCAGTGAGGGACTGTTGACTTGACGTCTGAGCGGTAGTGGAGTGTTGTTGCCTCGTCGAGGAGCTGGGAACAGCAGCTGGATGTTGACTTGATGGTCCCGTAATAGCTGTCGAGTGCTCATTCGACTTGACGTTTATATTTGCTTCTTCCTTTCCATGGTCGGTTGGTAGCAGTGGTCCGGCGGAGTGTGCTTTGGTGTCGGCTGCGACCGGTGGTCTCCCGGTAGTTGACTTCCACAGCACGGGCTTCCTGGATTGTGCCTTCACTCCCGCTACTCCCTTCTGAAGTCTGGAAGCGCCTCCCTCGGGGGTCGTTTTCTCCGTCTTCGCCTCCAGTTGGGGTGCACCTGGCGTTTGGAGTTCCTTTGGAAATGGTCCTGCGAATGTTGACTTGTCTAACCTAGTTCCTCCTCTGCTTGCAGGCCGTCGTTCATGTCGTGGTCCTTCGACTTTGGATTCCACTCCATTTACAGATTTGTTCTGATTCTCATCCCTATCTTGGAGTGTAATGGCTTTCATACCCGCTCTCTTCTCCGGCAGAGCCTTGTACTCTGCCGTGCTGAGCACACGACCATCACTCACTGAGATTCGGATCGATGTTCTATGTGTGGAAGGGATGCGTTGTTGTGGTAGAGAAGGTCCTGCCTGAGGGGGCGCCTGGCATGAATTGTCTCTCGTGTCTGGTTGTTCGTTGCAGACTGCGATTGGTGGCGAAGGATCGCTATGGTGGGAACTAGAATGACTCTGTTGAGTGGGCTCACATATAGGGCTGGGACGATGAGAAAGAGGCGTGTGAGAGCTCTGGGTCTCGTCAAGGAGTCCGTGCGGCGGAGTGTCTTCCGCCTGGTTGGCTAGGGTTGAAGGCGAGGTCCTAGTCGATCCTGGATCTCCTGGTTCCTGTGTAAGACGTTTAGGTTTTCGGTTACTAGGTTTCTGCGCACTTTGCTCAGGTCTTTGCACTCCTCTATCATCAAATCCCCGTGTCCGTCGACTTGGTCTTCGTTGTATCTGAATGTGGGTCAGCGAATTTTCTGAAGATTGGCGACGGTGCGGTCCACGTCTGTGACGATTGAACGCATCATGATCATTGCCCCACTGATGACTTGTATTGACAGAGTCGAAGTTACCTCCACCACGCAGAGATTCTGTGGGGTGGCGCCCTAGAAAAAATTGATCTTGGGCTTCAGCTTGCTTCGGTGATACTCGGGCTCGAAAAGCGCCACCAATTCGCTGATTCTGGTTTTGATTAGTTGCATCCTGAAAAGACTTGGACGAGGAAGTAGGCGTGTTTGAGAGCATCCTTTGGACGCTGGGGTTAGTGATTGAGATAGATGCTCTCTTGCCCCAGAGGGTCTTCGGCCGCAAAAGCCATTTTCCGATTGTGGAAAGACGCTTTCTGCTGCTCTTGGTGATGCTCTCGGGAGGGGAACTGGAGTGCAGCGGCTGCTCTTCGGCTGCTTTATTTGCGCTTTTCAGAGATGGCTTTGGTAGCAATGAAGGCTCCTTATCCGCTCCGTCCCCATTCTCTGGGTCTGGCAGTTCTGTTGAGCCCATAACGTTGGTGGAATTTCTTTCAGACATATCGACTGCGTCCTCTGCCGAGATATACTCCGCAGTTTGCTCTGGAGGTGCGATTATCCGTCTTACTCGCTGCCTCCATTCTCTGGAGTAGATGGAGCAAGGTGGGAGATTCCTCGAGGGTTGTTCGCCTCGGACAGAGAACCTAACGTGTATTTCACTCGGGACCTCTGGGACAGGTGAGATCCACTCGTTCGGTTGCGGTACACATTGGTTCTGCTCCTCTTTGATCCGTGAACATTTGAGTTGTGCTCGCTCTTTACAAGATGGCCCATCTGAAAGTGCTACACCTATATCGTCGCTGGGCTCGATCTGATTCGTGGTCTTCGTTGTGAACTCATCCTTGACGAAAGGCTTTTCGATATCGAAGCTAAGGTCGAGCGTTGAGTCCTTAGAGTCGAAATCAAAGGTGAGGTCTGCCGCTGGAGGAGCCGCAGGTGTCTCTGGTTGTCGACTTTCCCTTCGATACCTGCCACGCAGGTAGTGCTCTTTGGTGCGAGTAAATCGATCCATGCTTTCGGCAATATCGGTGGCTTCTAGGCAGGTCGCTTGCAAACCGCAGTAAATCTTGTTTAAGAGGGCAACTGGCAGGATATCTAGGGTCCAGACGAAGAGGTACAACGGCCCAATAATGGTGGCCAGAAGGACAAAGCAGATCTGGAAAGGGATATCCGCAAGCAAGAGAGACAAATCGTGGGTCGTCGAGCGAGCCCTCGACGCTGCCGGTGAATCGGGTATTGTCTGGGTCATTAGATATTTCTGCCTTGATTCCGAAATTTTGGCAATAAAGGTTCGCTGAAGAGAATTTGAGAGAAAGAGTTTGATCCCGGCTGGCTGTTTGAGTGACTGACATCCTGGATTCAAGAAAAGCGTGAAACACAGTGAATATCGGCCTGTGATATCGGGTTGCACACCAATATTCGGTCGTTGGTTCATACGTGACACTCAAACGACACCGACCGTTCCTATCCAGCCTTCACACGCTGATTGTCTTGAAGACGCCTAGACCACTTCCACCGGTGACCATGATCGTACCGGGCATTTGCGGGTGCCAGTGCAATTCTTTGCCATCTTCAACGTGATGAATGAATAATAGTTGCGGAGGGACCTTTTCGGCACCTTCACCCAAACCTAAGCCCGCTTCTCTGCCATATTCTTCATCATCAAGCTCGACCGCAAGATCCCACAGAGTTGCTGTATTATCAGCGCAGGCGACAGCCACCACGCTATCATCTGTCGGATGCCACTCTATTGAAGTGATGGGCTTCTTGTGGAAGTGAAAGTTAGCGACCGGACTCGGTTTGATCTGTGCGCCAGGTGCTGCTCCTGACTGAGGCTTCCATTGCCGCAAATCCCAAACTGCCCATTCGCCATCATCGGCACCAGTGGCAAGCAAGTGGAATGTCTGGCGCGACCAAGACATCACGTTGACATCAGTGTTGCTAATCTTCACATCAACAGCGGGTTTGCGACTCTTACTTCGCGCATCCCACACCTTCACAGTGCCGTCGGAGCTTGCGGATGCAAAGACAAATTTCTCATTGGGTGACCATTGAAGTTCTTCCACTGCGTCAGTGTGGCCGACAAATGCCCTAGTGTCGGTTACCCAGCCGCCGCCATCGGTTCGCTGTGTGCTGAATATTTGTCCAGCATTGTCACCGGAGAGAAGTCGACCGTTCGGGTGTGAGGAAGCTGGCGCCCAGTCCAATGCGTATCCTTCTGTCTTGTGCACTCGGAGCGTGCTGAGCGGCTTCGAGGCATTCGGAGGTAGTGTGTAGCCTGGTGTTGAAAGAGAATGGAGATATGGTGACACATCATGTATCAGAACCTGACCATTTTCTAGGGATGTAGCCGTCAATGTCTGAGGCATTTGGGTCATATCGGCAGCGGCAGGCGCTGGCTGGAATGCTCTAATTCTATTGGTCGTGCTTGGGAGTGGTATCGACCTCGACTCGAGCACAGGGTCAGACGAGCCCTCATCGTCCTCATCGTCGTCGCTATCGCTTTCCGAATCCGTCTGGTTACCACGATCCATCTTCGATAGACTGCTCAATCGCAAAATATACAATTCATTCTCTTTGGAGCGTGACGACTCAGCCTGCGTACCCGCAACGGCATAGACTGTCCTTGGATACTGCTTGCGATTTTCCCCCAGATTATCTCGCACAATGTCAAAAGATAGACAGGGCCACGATGTTGACATGAGGTGAAGCATCTCGTAGGTGGACGGGTCTGGCGTCAACGACATTCCAGGTTGCAATATCGATCGGCCTGGGATAAATGTTTGTTCCTTCGTGTCGACATCCATAGCATCTTGTGCCTGCTCGGCTTCTCTTTCGGCGTCTGGTCGCCCATCAACGCCCGCTTCCATGATCTCGTCTTCCGACTCGAATTCATCTTCGAATTCGTCTTCAAAGTCGAGGGTGGGGTCACCGTTTGCACTCGAATCTGGTCGCTGCCCTGCCTTGAGGGACTCTAAGTTTTCCTGGCCTTCGGCGGTTCTTTTCGACATCTTGATGAATCGAGCGTTCTGTTCACAGTGTCAGACGTAAGGTGAAGCCTGGTGGCCGCGCAAGAAATCTGCATTTCTCTCTCCGCACATGAATTTCGAAATTATTTTTTCTCCAATAAACATGCTTATGTAATACATATCACGTGTGAATGTGGGATGTTCGATGCCCGAATGCGGATTTGCGTCTTCTTCCGGTTGTGCATGAAGTCCAAGGGTCACTGGAGTCTGCTACCCAGATGCTCTTCCGGTGGAAGGGTCTCAATCTCCAGGATGAGGGTCTATAGCCGCCTCATTACCGACGCAGACAGTTGTTGATTCTGCTCCCCCAAATCAGTGAGATAGCCTCGGCAGTTCTACGGGCCTGCCCCCCGACCTGCATGCACCTCCATCCAACTAATTAATCCTCAGGTACAAAATTGCATTCTCTGCTCAAAGGTCGAGGACTGCTCTCGTAAGACTGTACCGGCAGTGGGAGACAGAAGGTTGATTTACTGAATTCTTCCTGCGAACCTTGACCTCAATCTGCATCCATACCTTTTGCCTGCGCCTGTCTTTCCTGTACCTCACCTCGACCTGAGGCACATTGAACGCACAAGTCAACACTTGTTGTGCTGCGCACCTTGCACCTCGCACCTCGCGGTCGACGGCATCAGCGACTCTGAACATTTCCTCCGCATCTTCTAAGCTCCAACTCAGTAAAAGACATACTAGGGCGATGACGGCCGTCCCCAAACGGCGCCTCGCAGCGCTGTCCAAGCAACTTGTGGAAGGAATACCTTCTGAGGGCACATTTGAGGAGATTCCTCGTATCAGACAGGTCGCAGACAGCTCAGTAGGACCAAGAGTTAAGGGGAAGGTTGTTATCGTTACTGGTAAGTCCAAAGGACGCAAAACGTCAAGAGCCCTAGCCTCCGTTAGAAAACTCGTTCTCATTATAATTGTCCCTTAGGATGCAACTCTCCCATCGGCATCGGTCGGGCGTCTGCGCACCAATACGCTCAGAATGGCGCCAAGGCGGTCTACATTTGCGATTATGATGATAAGTATTTGGAAATGCATAAGCGGGAAATGGCCTCCTTGTATCCCGAATGCGAGGTCCATTGCGTGAAAGTGGACGTCGGGGAGGAATCTCAAGTGAAAGCCGTGGTGGATCAATGCATGGCCAGATACGGCAGACTCGACATCATGTTTGCGAATGCTGGCATAGTGGGCGTGCCCAACACGTTCGAACACATCTCGAGCACAGCATTTATGAACACACTGAGGGTTAATACAGTGGGTGTGTTTCTGTGTTTCAAATATGCAGCCATCGCGATGCAGAAGACGGGTCCCGAGAAGAAATATCCGGGGGGCAGCATCATTGGCACGGCATCGGTGGCTGGAATTAGGTCGAATGCTGGGGGGACGGATTACTCGGCCAGCAAGGCTGCAGTGGTATCGATCGCACAGACCATGTCCTATCAATTAAGTGGGACAGGCGTGAGGGTCAATGCTATCTGCCCAGGCGTGATTGAGACTGGGATGACCAAACCCATGTATGATGCGGCACGAAACCGAGGCACAGAGAAGAAGATTGGCCAGCTGAATCCACTGCAGAGAGGTGCGGTGGCCGACGAAGTTGCCAGGGTCGCCTTGTTCTTAGGGAGTGACGAGGCTAGCTACGTCAATGGTCAGGCCTGGGCCGTATGTGGTGGGTTGAGTGCTGGACATCCCTTTGTCCCAGGCAAGCTAGGTTGAGGATCGTGTTAGATTTGAAACTAGACTCAGCCATTCAGGTCTTTTTGAAGGACTTCTAGGACCTTTTTCTCGTCGATGTTGTCCAAAGAAACGAGGTTCGGCTCATCTGCTTTGTTCTCCGGAGCGTAAGTTGGCACGTTGACGGGAATTTCTGTCCCATACTGTTCGTTGTAATTTTCTTCGGTGATGAATGGAGCATGTAAATTCTGCGGGCCTTCTTGCCGGACGTAGAAGGTCGGAAACTCCAGGATGGTCCGATCGCGGAGAACATCGACCAGCATCGAGTCCGGAGCAACTGGAATCAGGCATTTCACTTTGGATATCGTGTCTGGTTTGAAAAGGTAAAACTGGAGATCTTGTGACGCCTGCGGGGTTTTTGGAGGTTGGCCTTTCCTTCGCGTCGTTTCATCGTCCTTGTCGATGCCAGTCTGGTCATTACCTGATTCTTGGACAGATGATTCGGATCCTGGGTTTCCAGGGGCTCCTTCCACATTCCTGTTATGCGAGCTCTCTCCGTTGCTTCCCCGGGCGGCGACCGACTGAACAGATCTGGCGTCAGGTTGAGGAGCTGATACTGACGCTGTTTCAGCATCACTTCGCTTGCGTTTCTTGCGGTGGACGGCGTGTTTCCCAAATGCAAACAGAAAGGCTTCCTCAACCGTTCTCGACTCGAGTACATTGCAAGTTTTCTTGTCACCGTCATAACATATCCATTCAGTCGTCCACATGATGCAGCTCCCATGTCCCGCCCAATGAGACTTATTCTGTTTGTTTCTCGATAGTCCTTCTGGTGCCTTGATTAATCGTATACCTCTCTTTTCGAGCTCGGCAGAAAACTTCCGTCTAGCCTCCTGACCCTTTCGCATGATGCCACTGGGGACCAAGTCAATCCCTTTGCTTATGGTCAGTTCGTCTGCACGCGCTAGGGATCTCTCGACGGAAGTAATGAAGTTGAAGTCCTGATCGATAGACGCCGGTGTGGCCAGATCAGCTCGCTTTCGATAGGCGGTAGGGTCCCGAATGCCTGAGCACTGAGCCCAGGATTTGTGGCGCTTGACGCATGGGAGGGAGCATGTGTGAATTCCACATCGAGGGCAAGTGTATTTGATAGGATTGACGTGGCTATTCCAAGGTCACTCTGATTTAGTCTTTGATGCAACATTCAGAACAGAGGTTTCAAGCTCACCAGATAGCACAGAGATCGGTCAATATCAGGTCGCTACCCGTTTCCTGCATAGCACAATCGATGGAAGTGAAGCATGACACTGCAGTTGCAGGTACAGAGGTTATGTATTCATGGGATTTATTTTGATGCTACTCCGAGACTGCTGGGGCTGGATTTTTTGCACCAAGCCCTTTATCGATAAGCAAGCGGCACTCCAGAGTCCTGTACGTCACCGTGCAGCCTCGTTGACGGTATTATAATTAGCGTCATCTGGGTGACGAATTGTGGTGAGTGGCTCAAGCAGAATACCATTAAACTTCCTTCTCCCTAAAAGGCAACACTGGCCGTCGACGATAGTAGCACTTCCTGGTCTAATGGGTGGGAGCCTTTGGCGCCAGCAGTGGGTATAAAGACTAGGATATTGGAGTTGAAAACTGATGGCGTTGCTGCGAATGTGACAATCAGGATGGTGGGCATAAATTCGGGGACGACACGTAAATCGGCCTGAGGCTTGCTACCGATGGGTAAGAAGAGGCGAAAGGGATATAGAGCTCGGAGCAGCGTCAATGGAACTTGACCCTAATTTCTATTCTCTGTTGCTCTCTTCGTCCTCTTCTCTTTGTTGGTGCATGTGGTGCTCTCGCTGGTTCTAATAGAACCTGAAAACAAACGGGATTAGATGAGCAAGACAAGCCAAATCATTGAGCAACGCACTAACCTTCTTTACTTCGCCCCTTTTGTTCCATTGGGATCAAAGTTTAGCGGACATCCTGGCAAACCTAGGTATGTAGGTAGACAAAGGTCTATCGCTGCTGGCGCGCACTGGCACGTTTTCCAACGGATCATGTCATGGAATCTTGATTGGACGCGATTATCCCGGCAACCCCGCGGATTACCTTCGATGGAGTAGCATAGGACGACCCCTGAGGAGAGCAGCGTTCCATTCTGGAAGGATGACAAGAACCTTGATGCGCGGCAATGGACCAACAGGAACATGTTTGTCCATGGGAGACGAAAAACGCGTGTCACCTGCTGGCATGGATCCTCAGCCTTGACGTGAAACAAGTCCTGGCACGAATGCGACTTTGGTTGCGAATAAGATGGCAAAATCGTATCCTAGTCTTTTCCTTCCCGTCTGTAACCCTTATGTCGCGAGCGCGCAGGCTCCATGATTGAGTTCCGTCCCGGCAGGAGAACTTCAAAGAGATGCAGTCCGTAGTAGAAACTTTGAGTGGAACATGGCCAATTGCGTGCTTGTGCTTTACATAAAAAAGCATGTGGCAAGACGGCTAGAACCCGAAAGACGCGATACTAATGCCTCCGTCGAATCATCAATATGCTCGGCGAGTTCCCTCCAAGGAGGATGAAATGTGCAAGTAGGTACTCGGTACTCCGTTTGTAGACGTCGCTCGCGGCAGTTTCTTTGTTGAGACAACAGCATCCGTATGTCCGGAGTACAAGAGGGCGAGGGGTTCTCTGTGTTAGCCGCTATACGAAAGGCTGGTGAGGCTAGAAGCTCACAAGGTAAGCGACATCCCAAAAAGAAAGGGCGACCCAAAAGAGAAGGTGAAACCCCCCTGAAGCCCACCTAAGCAAATGGGCCGCAGGCGAGGAGGAGGCAGCACGGCTTCCCCCCAGAAAATCAGAATAAGGCCTCAGCCAGAGTGTGATGGAGGTGGCCCAAAAAGGCCTGCCACAGGTTGCGGCTTCTGGCGCTCGTTCCGTCACCCAGGCCATCAACCAAGTTTTCTGGCTCATCACAGACAAGTGGACCAGAGTGTTGGTTGCCAGCCAAATTGAGGGCTTGCTGGGGGAAAGGACATGGCCAGGGTGCTGCAGGACACCAGGGGCACCTTCAACCCAAAACGGCGTGGCTCGGTGTGGGCGGGCTGCTCGACCTCACTAACCTGGCTGGCGTGTGTGCCTCAACTCCTGGCTAAACCCAACATGGGGGACGATGGGATGGATAGCTCTCTTGCACGTTCGATGATTGGCAACAAGGGGGCCCACGGGCACGGGCACGGCTCAGGTACAGTACAGGCGCAGGCGCAGGCGAGGGAACGGCTAGTGAGCAGAGACTCACCATTGGATTCGTGCACACAGGACAAGGTGGGGAGGGTGCCTGGACGGAGGGCTTCGTGCTCGTACCTAACAAGTAGGATACAGGCAGCACTTGCGTCAACATACTGGTAGGCAGCTTTGAGAGGGGATGGGACTTAGCAAATTCGCTCGCTCTTGTAGCTAATGCTGTCTTCACACTCGCAAGAATGAGGAGCATTGAGGACTTCTGAGGACTAGACCTCCACACACCTCGTCCGAGACTCCGAACAACCAGCAAGATGGGGGAGATGGGGACCGTGCTACTTAGGTACTTGGGTGCCATTCTCGGTTACGGCTTGTATGCAGGGCCGGGAGTGTTGAAAGTGGTTTCTGACCCCTGCAAGCCTCATCTTGTTAGCTGCATATCCGCAGTACTGGCTGGTACTAGTCGTGACCTTGATGTGGCTCCGGCCCGCTTGGCCTGACACCTCTTGTTGCGCTTCTTCTCGCTTCCAATGCCAGATGGACTCCTGAAATCTATGGAGCTCAAGGAGCTTCAATTGTGCCTTGCAACAATCTCTCCTGGCACCTACGCCCGTTCCAGTGCTGGTCTTGTTTTTCTATCCTCCCAACGGGCTCCGACCGTTGGATTCTTTTCTTTCTTCTTTACACCGCGGGGGCTGTCTCTGAGCCACGTCCTCATCCCCTCCGTCTCTCTCGAAGAGAAAGGAATTGTCTTTCCAGCGCAGATACACTCCAAGCTAGAAAGGCTGAGGGTGTCTAGAGCTGGTCTTTGATTCCTGGTTGAGTTGCTGGACCATTGATATCCCACACCAGACAGCTTCGAACACTGAGGCCAACTCTCTCTACCACGGAGTCGAAACCATGGGCCCTTCGTTGAGAGGTCATACCTCTATGACTTCCATGGCTGCCCGACCTCAGACTCGCGATACAAATCGCCCTGCTACCCGAGAACAAGCAGTCGACAATGCCATGGTTCCTAGCCGAACCTCCTCTCTACACTCACGAATCACCCAGCCTCTCCCCTCCACTCTGGCCAAGTCGAACAATCGACCTACTCCAAAGACTCTGACACACGCATACATGGTTTGTGGTGTGGGAAGAGAGCCGTCGCAATGGGTCAAAGCACCGCCTCCATCACACGGCAAGATCCAACATATGAAGGGAGCTGTAGGGCAGTTCTGGCTTCCCGAGATCTTGGGAAGCAGCCCCAGACTCGAGAGTGACAATGAGATTGCAAGAGCTCTTCACAGTGCTATGAGGGTGCGTTGCTACTGCTGCCAGCTGTCTGATTCCAACACTGACCGTCATCTAGGCGTGCTTTCCACATGATGTCGAGATCTGCACTGGCAGGAGCCAGCCACACTGCGTGCATCACTCATTCGTCCTCCAGCAGGATTCCCAACACACTCTCTACGGTATTGCCCTTCGAGTGTGGTCACGGGCGGACGAGAAACGAGCCGAAACCATTCGTGATCTTCGGCGCAAGACCGAACCTGACTATAGAGATGTCGCTGATGAGACTTACTGGATTCCCTACTGCTTGAGTTTCCTCTCCAGATATCCTCTATACAACCTGTTGGGCGACTACCTGCGAGGAATGTGGATTCACTGGAACAAGGCCACTAACTTGTTCCACGCTGAGGAAGTCTCGAGAATCCTCAGCTTTCCTGCTCCACGACTGAACGACCTTGTACGGATCGATATGAAAGATTATGCCCTCTGCTATCAATTCCCATCTTCGCCGACTGGATTCCAGAACTTCAACATGTGGCCACTTTTCTGTTGCTTGAGCATTCCCAATATCGTGGGCCTCATCGAGGCTGCTGTATCACCTACTCGCCGCATCATTCTCACCAGTCACCACCCAGCCATGCTTACAATCGCAGCGGAGACCATCAGATTTTGTGTCCGAGTCTACGAATGGAGCGGTTTGTATGTTCCTGTCGTCCACGCTCGTAATGCTAGTGAAATGGTGCAAGAGCCTGGACCATATATTCTGGGTATTACCACTGAATGTCGATCACTCTTCCAGCCTCCTAAGGACGCTCTTCTGGTCGACTTGGATCGGAATCTCGTCATCACCGATCATCCTCCGAATATCCTGACTGCTGGTCAACGCACGAAGATGATCAACCGTCTAACGCAAGCTTTGAACACCGACGTTGAGATTAGCGGTGTCCCTCAACATCTCAAGTCGGCTTATGGCGGTGGCAAGCTCATTCCCGCCGGACAGATCATCGTTCTACGTGGCGAGGTTGAAAGTGTCCAAGACCCTTCGTGGTGGAACCAAGACGCCGTCATGGCAGTCATGGACCACGTCTGCGAGAAGCTCGGCCGCAATACTGGCGTCAAGGCCATCTTTGGTGGCAGCATGAAGAAACCACTGATGACCAAGATCTCCATGCGACATATGAATGAGATTGTTCGAGAACGTAACCAGTATTCGAGAGACGCACTTGAAGCATGGCAAGACTTCATCAACCTGAAGGGCCGCATGGACACAGAGCTTGCTAAGGTTGCGAAGAGGAACAACTATCTCGAACAAGAAGTCGAGACCTGGAAGTTGCAATTCCAGAAATTCCAAGCTTTCGTCGAGTCTCTCAACAAGGAATTGGCTGAACTTCGTGTCAAGATTGAGTCCCACAAGCGTGAGAATCGCAGGCTTACCGGACTCATTGATCAACAAAAGGATGACGCTGCTCGTCTTGCTCTTCGCTTGTCTGGCACTGAGAGACAGCGTGATAATGCCCTTGAGGCATTGGTGCTTCAGCAGGGTATTGCCGAAGATCTGGAGAAGGAGCGTGCTCGCAACCGCAAGGAAATTGCGGCCCTGCAACATACCAACCAGACCCTCCAGAGACAGCGTGATGAAGCTCAGCGTGTCGTTCTCCACCTCCGATCTCTCATCACCGGCCAGACCCACCACATGGAACACATTGTTCGTTCGATTGGGTCTGCTTCGGAGCTGGCAGAGTACATCAACGAAGGGTACGAAGACGAGGAGGATGAAGAGGTAGAAGAGCAAGACGAGGAAGAGCAAGATGGAATTGGTGAGGACGGCGACGGACTGAAGAGCGTGACTGCCGGATCAGGCAAGCGACCATCGAGATCTGCCTCCATTGACGGCCAAGATGTCACGCCGCAAATGGAGAACAAACTCCTAGCCGCCAGTAAGAGAGCTAGCAAACGCTATTCAGAGCTTAGCATGTCCGATGTGGCCGATCGCCATCTTCGTGACAAGACGGACGCCATTGCCGACATCATTCGCAACATCAGTGAACAATGTGCTGCTGCTGTCGAAGGGCTTCAGCTCGCCAACGAAGCGGCAGATGTCGAAGAGGACGAGCAGGCTGAGGGGGACGAGGCGGGCATGTCGACCTCAACGGGCCATGCCCGACAAGACAGCGAGAATTTGTCTCCTGTTGACCATGGCCCCACCGATTCTCGTGCAGGCACAGGCCACCTGACTCCTCAGAGCGAACGAAGTTCGATTCCTCCGACTCCGGACTTGGTTCACCAACGATCCAGCACCGCGCTGAGCATGGCGAGCACAGCGCCAACAAACTACACTGCTCGCGAGTCGCTAAACCACAACACTCGAGGTCCAGATCGGACGAAGATTGTTGAAGACGAAGATGCTGAACGTGCCCACGCAAATGTTGCCAGCGGCACCGGCAGTGTGAAGGGAGACTCGGTGTCTGAGGAAAATGTCAAACCGCCTCCTGGTCGAGGTCCCGTTCTCAGCCGCGTCTTGGAGGCGTGAGACACCAGATTGAAGATCTAACATTTGCATGCAATGGATTTGGATTTGGATTCGCATCGAACTCGGGATGGCAAGGAGCTTTGGCGCAAAATCTCTTGGGAACTGAACGGCACGAACAATCTCGTGCCCTTTCGCCGTCGTGCGTCTCGAGGCAACCTCCTTGCCCTCACTTTCCGACGCTCGGCATGTTTCTACATTTGTTTTTTTGGTTAATCTGTAATTCTTGGTGTGGCTGTCATGGCTTACGGGCTCATATGGTGTGATATTCCCTTTTTGTGTGTGTGTGTGTGTGTGTGTGTGTGTGTGTGTGTGTGTGTGTGTGTGTTGTGACAGGTATTTTTCATGACAAGCGAGTTGGATTGCCGAGTCGAGGCAGGAGATTTCACTTGATGGCCTTGCAAAAATATTGACATAGGAAATGAAACCAGAACAAGCAAAGTGTTTGAGGATCTAGATGTACTGTCCCCGTTGAAACAGGGCGCGGGCAAGCCAGAACAGAGCAGAGTCCCATATCAAAGTTAGATTTTTGCATTCTAGTCAACTGCATCCCTTGGGGCGTTATTTTTCTTCCTGTCCTCATTCCTCCATCTCTCTCTGTACTTGCTCCTGCGCCTGCTCCTCCTGAACCTTCACTACCGCCTTCAACGCCCTGTCCCTCTTCTTGATGTCGGCCGCGCTAGGCACCCCATACGCCTGGGCCGTCTGCTCGATGACGGCGGCCTTCCAGCCCCCGGGCCCATTACCGTCATCCATGCTGATCTGGTCGCCAGCATCATCCTTCCAGACGGCGTCGATGGCCTCGCCGATATTGTCGAGGAAGCCTGTCATGCCGCGCACGCCGCCGCCGAAGTTGTACATCTGGAAGGGCCCCGCCACGGCCCAGCGGGGGCCCAGGCTCGCGCGCACGATCTCGTCCAGATCATGCACAGAACACACGCCCTGTTGCACCAGCCGGCACGCCTCGCGAAACAGGATGAACGACAATCTGTTGGCGACGAAACCTACACTCTCCTTGCGGATCGTGATCGGGCGGTGGATCGAGCCCAGTGAGGAAAAGTAGCTCCTTGCAAAGGCGGTTTCGGCGGCCGAGGTGCTCGGCGACGGGACCAGTTCGAGCAGCGGCATCAGGTGCGGCGGGTTGAACGGGTGCACGATCAGGAGGCGCGCGCGGGCTGAGGCGATGGCCTCTTCTGAGAGATCAAGATCACCGGTGGTGGCGGGAAGGTGCGCGAGTTGCTGGCTTGCGGGGATCCCGCTCGTCGACGACCACAGGTGCGTGCTGGCGCCCACGTAGCGCAGCACTTCAGACCACGTCCGCTGCTTGAACTGCGTGTTCTCGGGCCCCTGTTCCTGCACGACCGTCGCGTGCTGCACGGCCTCGCGCAGCGAGGTGCAGAACCTCAACCGGCCTGACGCTGTGAACTGCTCGATCGAGGACTTGTCCTCGGACCCTGACCCTGGCGGGGAAGTCGGGAGGTATAGTGGCAGCATAGCGGCGACGTGCTCCTTTAGGTCCGGGCGGGGGTCGAACACCGACACCCGCGCGGCCGTGTAGGTCAGATGCAGAGCCAGGAAGGAGATGCCTATGGCGCCGACGCCGATCAGGGCGATGTGCTCGGTCGCGTGCGACGACACCGCGGTCGGGCCCGTGGCCGTGGTTGTAGATGTCGATGCGGATCCAGACGGCGGTTCTTGGAGGCCTGGCATCTTCGCCGGATGTGGTCAGGCAGAGAGAGAGAGAGAGAGGAAAGGAGAAGGGTGTGGTTTGTGTATAGACACAGATGTCTAACCGGTCAGGCAGCTTGACACGGGTCTGGTCTGGTCTTGCCTTGTCTTGGTCGAAGACGGAGATCAGAGTCCTCAGTCGAGAGTCGAGATTGGGATCCTCCTTGCACCGATCAATAACCAGCGCCTTTGCCCTTCGTCTTGCTCTTCCTCCTATGTCTTTTCGTTCCTGATTTTGCCCTCCGTAACAGGTACTGTAACAGGTATACCGGCCTTTTGAATTTTCTCACCTGGACGATCTATCGATCTATCGATCTGATGTGGATTTATTGTTTTTTTTTTTTTTTAAGCGACAGACCAAAGGGAACATTCACTGACTGACAAACGCGCTCACGTTGGGTGGAGAGATGTCCTCGGTAGGCTATTGAGTTACTTGGGAACAGGGAATGGATGGCCCGAGTGACAGCCGAGAGGTTGCTAGGTTTTCAAAAGACGAAAAACTACTCGCCATTATGTGCTGTTTGTGTCAATGCTAACTAGGTGCTCCGCAAGGAACAGCTGCGGCGCTTGGTTGGCGAGCCAATTTGCTCATGGCAAGCAAGACAGGAGAATGAGGACAGAGGAGAAGATGCTGTTGCATACATGCTACAAGTCCAAGAGATCAGCTTCGCCCTCTTTGACGAGGTCCGAATCAGGCATTGATTGGGCTCTATGCTGGTTTCATGCTTTCATGTGTGGGTAAGGTATTAACATGGCTTTTCAATGCCACTACACGGCATCCGTGCTCTTGACAGGGATGACGAGGATAACACATCCCTCAACTACGGACAAAAGTGTTATTCAACGCGGGTGCCTACATCGGCCCCGTCATGTGGAAGGATGTGGAATTCATCCTTTCAGACTCGCACCGGACTCCAGCTCAATGGAATATAAAGACATTCCCACCTTGGTCCACACTGACCACGCATCCATACGGTTTCCTCAGCATTACCACGTCAGTGATTGAATCCAGATGAGTTCGGAGTAGTTGCTGCTGCGCGGCACTAATAATCGTGTTGCGAGGTGGTTTGATCGCCTGAGGGGTTGAAGGCGTGGATGAAGTGCTTGTACTGGAGTTTCTCTGTATGTTCGGTGTCCCGGGCTGGCTGCTCGTCGTGGCAGTTTGCGTAGGTGTGTTCGATCTTCTTGGAGGAGTTGAAGCTACATGAGTTGTGGCTTCTCTCGAAAAACGAGTATAAGACGATGTTTTCCTCGACGGCTGAGCCAAGGTTGCGGCTTCCTCGTTGGTATTGACCTTTTCCTGTACGAGCGCGATCTGCGCTCCAGCGCTCAGGCTCAACGGATGCGACACTTCGTATTTGTACTTCGATTTGACACTCCCAGCCGGGGTGAAGCTCTCCTCATTTGCATCATGTAGTTGTGGTCCAGAGACAATGAAGCTGTTCTCCGGTCGACCAATGTCCCAGTATCGTAATGCTCTATCGACCCCGCCAGTAAAAAGTATGGAGTGCTTGTTGGGGTTATCTGGGTTCGAGCTTTGGGTGTAGTCGGTAAAAATGTACATCGCAAGGATCGGAAAGGTAGAAGCCGAGCCTGAGCCGGACGAGGGGGTCGACTTCTTCGTAGGTGAAGCGGCAGATACCTCATTTGGGGTCGGCGACCGATGTAATTGAGGTTCGATCAAGCTGTCATTCTCAGACACCTCCTTGGCAAAGCGTGACAGAATCTTTTCGCTGCTCTCTTCGTCCGGAGACCACGCTTCATATGGGCGTGTCTGCCCCCCTTTGGGACTGAATGTACTTGGCCGTAAAACTTCGCGGCAGACCATCTTTTCAATGTCCCAGGCACTGATCTCCCCACCAGCGCTCACCATCACCCATCTCCCATGACCTTTGGCAGGATGAATCAGGAGCCGATCTATGCGAGAATTGGTTTGGATGCCAAAACTACGCAAGTGCAATTTGAATCGCAAGTCCCACAGGTCCAGAATTCCATGACTCGTCCCCAAGAGCAACCAATGGTGTTTCCTGTCAACACAAAATGTAGTCGGTGTACCATGATGTACCGGGTTACTCATGCTGTGGAGGATTTCCATGTTCTTCATGTCAATGACGAGAATACGACATTGGTTAGTCGCTGCTAGTAAGATAGATTGCGAGGTTGGCGTGCGATAATGATGAAGCCAGACGGCGTATTCTGAAACGGACCCAGCAGCACTACCACCGGGGCCGCCGACATTGTTCACGGCTCGATTGGATGGTATCAGATAGTCCCGGACGAGACTCGGTCTGCCATATCGGGAAGTCTCACCACCTTCGACACTCTTATAGTCAATTCGTAGAGCGTGAATACTTCCGTCGTCCGCCCCACTGAGAAACGTGTGCGTTTCCTCGATGAAACAAAGACTCTTGACCCTCACTCCCTCGGCGCGTCGATGTGTATACCTCGAACGCGCCGTGACATTCTTTTCCAACCTGATCGTGTCCCAGATCTTGCACGTTCCATCATCCGATGCTGTCACGAAGAAGGCGTGATCAGGGGCCGCACACACTCGGTTGATGGCAGCTGTGTGCTCCGAAAACTGAGTCAGAAGTTGGCCTGAAGGGCGCCACGGTTCGCTGCGAAACTTCTCTTCCTGTTGTGCCGCTTTTCCGCCGGCCTGTTGTAAGACGTCGGTAGCTCTCCGAATAGGTGTTCTCGTGTCCGCGGGAGGTCTATTCCCGCCAAAGTCCATTTGATCTATGGGGAAATTCTCCAAGAAGTGATTGTCCAGCAGTCGCAGAACATTGGCGTCATTCCCTTGGTATGAATGGTTGGGCTCGTAGAGCGGCGTTCTAGTCCCGCTGCCGCGAGGCGAAACAGACCTTGATTTGGCGGCCACATTGGCGGTCACTGACAACGCCGAGGGTCCGCCCGTGCTTCGTCGATAAAACTGCCCATCTACCTCGACCCTGCCAAATGCATTCTCCGAGATCGTGGACGTTTCCGGGTCCGCCTTTGCGGAGTCCGTTCGATTCATCAAGTTCAAACCGCTGGCTCGATGTCTGAGTTCGAGCGAGGTGTTGCGACGCAATGACAGCCTGTCTCCATTCAAAGAAATCTCGACATTTGAGATGCTTGGCCTGGAGGACACACTTGCCCTTTCCACTGCTATGGCAGGCGCGCCGTTGGGCCTTGTCTCCGAGGGTTTGCGATGCTGGATGTCCATGGGCTTGGTTGTGGGCGTTGCCGTCCCGCTTGACTGCTCTGTGGACGATATCCTCCTCGACATATGGTCGTCGATACTGGTTGACGCATCAAGAAGAGCATCTGCCAGACTGTGCCTCTCATCCACTCTTGATCTTTTCTGCGTCCTCCTAGGTCCACTTGTATTCTCTCTAATCGGCTGACGCGAATCAAAGAAGACGTTCTGCGGAGTAACATTGATCTGATTCAGAGGGATGATATTATTCAACATGCGATATTTTTCATCTGAATCCTCAAGTGGTTTGTGCCTGGAAATTTTCAATATGTACTCCCGTAGCGCAAGAAGCTTGATTTCATCCTCCGCGGTCATTCCGAGGTTTCGTAGACTCTCGAGAGATATTTGATCATCTTTGTCTTTTTGAGAAGGGGGTATTCTGGTCAACAGCCGCTTTGTGAGCGCCGACGGATTTTGCGGTGTTGTCGGATCGGACAGTGTCAATGCACCATCTCGGCTTGCAGCTGTCCAGAATAGGCTGTTTCCCTTCCTGGCTGCCCAGTGGGTGGCGGAATCAAACACTATCTTCGGCAATGGTCGCTTCAGATTGTCCAATATTCGCTCTTCCGTCAGGGCCGAGATCGGCCCTTTTAAGAATGGCTGAATGATGGGGAGGACGATGCAGTACTGATCGGCTGCTGGGATGTACTTGGCAGACAAAACGATGAATTGAACAGCACTCTCGCGCACCCAAATACTGGGATGGATCGAAAATCTTGCGGCGATGCCGACAAGTTCCCAGGTTGTGCTCTTCTGCAACAAACCCAATGCGGCCATCCGGGCTAATGATCGAAAGACTTTCTCCACAACAAAACTCTCGGGATCAGTCAAGGAGCCAACCATCACTGGCAATATGAACTTCTCTAGGCTTGTGGCACCAATGTAAGAGGCGATTCCCACAAGCGCTTCAAAAAAGGAACACCTCAGGATCCAGTCCTTGTCGTTCAGGTATGTGTTAAGGTGTGTCAAGATCACATCACTGGACTGTTGACTGCCGAAAAAGACGCATAGTCGGGATATTGAACCCAGCAAAGCTCTTCGGACAGATGGTTCCGGGTCCGTTATCAAGGCAACGGTCGACTCTTCAAAATGGGGAACGATCTCGCGTCGGCCATAGTCGTAGAGAGCGTCGTATGATTGCTGGGGAGCTAACTCATCTTCTCGCAACGCAGACAGGCGCCCGTCGGCCCGGATGGCATGGAACATGTCGAGAACTCGTTCAGCCGACAACGCCAACGACGCCAGGCAGGATGCATACGCGGAGCGCACAAGGATGCTGGGCTCACTTGAAGCGCCCAACCCAAAATGCCTCAGACGCGGCAGGATATACTCTGGAAAGATATATGCATTGATCGGCGAAACGACTTCAATCATTTCGAAGATTGAGGTCATGGCGTAGATTGCTGCAGCCCTGACCACGTCCGACTGATCTGCGATCAAGCCAACAATGTACGGTAGGATGCGATCCAATTTCGCCTCATCTGGGAGTCTCTCAGCGAAAGCAACCAAAAGATCGCATGCCTTGAGCCGTGCCGATGCCTTTGCCGTATTCCTTAGACTGGACTCGACAAGAGTGAGAAAGAGTAAACTGCCGTCGTAAAGGCTAGGATCTGCATCCGGCGTTTTGAATCTGTTGTTGGACTTCATCGTCAACGGCGACCGCGAAGACTGTTTCGTGGAACTCGGGCCGTAGCCGAGGAAGAAAGAGATCTTGTCAAAGTCATGATAGACGCGATCTATCTTCTCATCGAATTCGCTCAGGCTTCTGAGATTCAGTTCCACGGGTTTCAGCGCAGTAGCGGGCCTAGTGAGATCGAGCATATACTGATGGAGAAAGCTGTAAAAGTACTCGGGAAAGATCTTGGACCGGTAGAAGGAGAGATGTTGTTCTGCACTGTAGCGCTTCTCGGGATCCAGTTCGATCATGTTGAGAATCATGGCCCGCACTTCAGGATCTTCGATCTTGTTGAGATGGGTATGTTCTGGGCTATAATCCCCTGACCGGTATTTGAACAGCTGACTGAGAGAAAAGATGGGCCCTTCTAGGAATATTTCAGCAATGACGCACCCGACGCTGAAGATATCCATGGCCCAATTTAGTTCCCCTGGGACGTCCTCTGGGTTGGCCGAAGTGAAACGTTCTGGAGCAATGTAGCATGTCCGTCGCGACGAAGTATCAAAATAAAATGAGAAGTCGGCTGGATTGTCTTCGGGTAGATTTACAGGCTTGAATGAAGAGGAAAAATCGGTGAGATAGAGCCAGTTCCAGGAAGTGACAAGAAGGTTTTCCGTCTTGATGTCTCCATGGTGGAGGTTGCGGGCATGGCAGTCACGAACGGCGCAGAGCAGCTGGAAGGCCAGCCATTTCTTTTCAATGTCCTCCAAGAATGGCCGAGTGCTCATGCGGTCGTATACCGAGCTAAACATGTACTGGCGGACAAGGAAGCCACCACTAGGTACCTCGATGATTCGCTGATAGCCCAGGGCATTGGGGATGTCAGCCAGCGTGTTCCTCTCGTGGGTAATCTGGCGAATATACTCGTGGACCTGGAAGGACGAATATGGCTTCATGACGGCCTTGACAAATACGAAGCCTTGCTGACTCCTCGCTCGGACGCTTTTCATGAACCGGGCTGAGGTCAGGGTCTTCTCGTGCACGAGGTCCGCCAGTTCAGGGACATCTATGCTGGCGGACGCGGCGGACAGGGTGGTCATGGAGTAGCCTTGACCCATCTTGAATACCTGACAGGTGGGAGACTCGGTAGATGGATTAGGAGAAGAGAGGCTCTGAGAGCAGGTCCAAACACTGGCTAAGGAGAAAATGAAGAGAATCCTGCGTCCATGATGATGTGATTTGTTCACCCTCTAAAGTTTGAAGTAGAAAGCGCGGGCGCCCCCCGGATATCTGATTGATAGGACTGCGGGCTGAGGAACGACGGGTGCCTGACAGGAGCTGCCACCTTCGTTTTGGACGACTCTGGGACAGGGTTATTTTGAGCAGTGCATATTGTCAGAATGTCTTTGTGAAGAGCAAGAGCTTGGATGGGACAGGGTCGTGGTTGTACAGGTGTGGGTGTTCTTTTTGCTGGAAAAGGGATCTTTCTTGAAGTGGTGTTGGTGGTTGGTCTGAGCCTCTGAGCTGAATCATGTGATATCACGTGACAGGAGCGCCGGACTGTCCTCCGCCCGCGCCTGTTAGGCAGCCCTGCCCAGCCTCACTAGCCCTGCCTTGCGTCTCCGTCTCCGCCCCCCCGTTGGTGCCGTTGGTGCCGTTGGTGCCCTTGTTTGAGTGACCTACCCAAGAATTGAACTTTCACCAGTGCCGCATGTGTGTGGCATGAACAAGCTCCACCCCCCCTGTAATGCCCCGGCACCAAGGCACCAAAGGCACCCAAAGGCACCAACCCAGCTGCCGCACACCTGCAACTTGTGGGTTTCGTCATATCACACGAGCATTTCTTTCTGCCATTGCCAGCTGCCAGAGGCAAAGATGCCCAACCATACTACCACCACTACCAACCTCCACGCAGTGTCCGTTTGATGTCCCGTCAGCTGTCGGACTTCCTTCTGTGTTGTCCATCACCGCCTCCTCCACGACATAACAACTACCATCCCGTTCTCCCTCGTCTCTTCGCTTTACCACCCACGTCATTGCTGCCATCGTCATCCGATCCAAGAACATGGCCGGATCACCCATCCTTCGACTTTGACTTCTGCCCGCTTCTCTCGCATTCCAACACCGTCATAACCTATTTGTGCTGTGAAGATGCGGGCAGCGGTGTTCGAACGATCTCTGGGTTCCAGTCGATAGGGCCATTGTCGGCTTCAAAATGTCCGAACATGGCAGCAATGAATCGAGACGATCCTCCTCACAGACCTCCAATCAGTCCGCCGATCAGAAGAAGCCCAAGACTGCGCGGGGAGCCCCCAAGCGTCATGGCTCGAAGCACTCGTCTCAATCCTTTGAACAAGACGATCCTTCCCTGACCTCCTTCCCCTCCTTCTCCCCGGAGACCGAAACGAAATCGGCAAGCATTGCTCAAGAGGTTGTGCCCAAGCCCATACGGACCATATCACAAAAGGCAAGGGACAGGAAGGCCACCCTTGCAGGCTTGACAAGTGCATCTCCCTCTCTCAATAGACAAAATGCATTATTCGACGACTCTCCGCGATCGTCCCTGGAAATTCCGGGTTCCCTGCATTTGGCTAGTGATGAGCACATAGAAAGACTCATTGCCAGGACTGGTGCGGTCAAGTTGGTCCGTCAGTATGCCTCCGACCTGGCTCAAAGGGATGCGGAAATTTCGGCCCTACGAATCCGAGCGGACCATAGGGAGAGGGAATTGAAGAAGATCCTGCGCGAAGCCAATGTCCCGACGGCAGAGGTGGAGAAGAGGCTCCTGAGATTGGAACAGGGAGACAATGATTCAAGTCTCGGGGTGTCATCAGGCTCTGTGGATCGAGCAGCTGCGTTGCTAGATGGCATGATGAGCGAGGCAATGGCAGATGGCATTGTGGTCAGCAGCCCCCTGGACAGCGAATTCCCCACCTATCATGTCTCTGATACTCGAAATCTGCCAGCAGCTTTGCAAGTCGAGTCGGAAGCGAATCGCAGCAGGGCCGGGTCGATGGCATCTAGCCTAGCCAAGGCAAGCCGAACCCCTAGCAGGGCCAACAGCAGCCTCAGTGACAGTAGCCAGGATATGGAGGCCACCTTGCGTCCGCGTATACCAAGCTCAAACACCCCCAAGTTATCTGGTCTGCAAAGCATATTCCAGCCTCCAACACAGTCTTCCAGCTATTTCATCGGCGGGAAAACTGTCAGAAAGCCCAAAGCCAGCGACGAAGCTAGTGTCCGCTCTAGTCAGTCTACTCGTTCGTTTGCCTCTTGGACCCAGATTTTTGGTGGAAAGTCCCAGACCGGTCGATCTAGGGCATCGTCGCTGGGACAGCAGGGTGCAGCGGGCGAAACGGAACCGAGCGTATCGAAACCGCGCACCAATCCGCCTCTAACCACCACCAAGTCATCTGCCTCGCTACCTACAACTGGGACGGTCAAGAGTCGGCCGCCAGCAAAGCGGACACCGACTGCCACGCGACTTTCGGCCAGTCCGGGTCATACGCGAAAAGAATCAAACGCAAGTAACCTCCCTCCTACGGTCGAGTTAGACTCTATGATTGAGAGCTCTCAGCTGCCGCCCACCATGACAACCCAAAATGTGGAGAACACCGGGCTATTGACGGACAGATTCGGCTTCATCTACGACCAGAAACGGCGAAAGCGACAGAACCTTCAGGTTCGAGGACACCGACGAAACAAGCTGAGCGGTACCGAAACCATAGCTAGCTTTAGAGCCAGTGAAGGTCCACATTCCGAAGAACTCTCGATCGAAAGACCGGTTACACCCATTTCGGTAGATGAGGAGGCGCCTAAAAAGTCATGGCAAGATTACCTCAAAGTACCCGCGGCCCTGTCCTCGGGAAGGCCAAAAGAATTGCTTTCACACACGCCCTCTGCTGGAGCTGTGGTTACTGTTAGCACGGTGGACGCAGCAGGCACTACGACGCCACCGCGTCGAAGCAGAGAGACTTCCATTTCCGTCTCTGCTGCTTCGCAAAAGGCTCTTCCAACCACTAGCGTGGTGATGGAACCGCAACCCTCGACAGTGACAGCAACTTCTGCGGACTTTACACCGGATTCCGAGTCCGAAGCCACGGCCGACTCCGGTCCAGCAAAATTGCTTCTGGAGCAGCTGACAGAATTGCATGACGCACTTCAAGCTGAGCGGGCGGTCCGGTGGAATGACTTTCTGCGCAGAGTGAGAGCGGAAAGGGCGAACAACGCAGATCGCGCGAGCAACACCAACACCCCTGAAGCAGATCTTCTCAACGGCGAGCTCATTGGAATAGCAACCCTTGGGCGCTCCACAAAGACGAAAGCCAAGTACATGCACTTCAAGGCATTGGTCCTGGCCGGTATCCCTGTCTCCTTACGGCCCAAGATTTGGGCCGAGTGTTCTGGTGCAAGTGCTCTGAGAATTCCCGGTTACTATGAGGACCTTGTTGCTCGATCGCGAGAGGGCACAGACATCGATCCGGATATTGCTAGTCAAATCAAGGCGGATGTTCACCGGACGCTCACAGACAATGTCTTCTTTCGGCACGGACCTGGCATTCAGAGGTTGGAAGAGTTGCTGAGGGCTTATTCCTTGCACAATCCACGCATTGGATACTGTCAAGGTATGAATCTCATCACAGCGTCTTTGCTGCTCATTTGTGCCACGGCGGAAGATTGCTTTTGGCTTCTCGTTGCCATCATCGACGTCATTCTCCCAAGCCAATACTTCAGCTCGACTCTGCTTGTCGCTCGAGCTGATCAAGTGGTTCTTCGCCAGTACGTTACCGAAGTGCTGCCAAAACTGAGCGCCAAACTGGATGAACTGGGTGTCGAGTTGGAGGCGTGCACGTTTCATTGGTTCTTGTCGCTATACACGGGCGTGTTAACGGGCGGAGAAGCCCTGTATCGAGTTTGGGATGTCATGTGAGTTTTTCTTCTCCTGGTATCAGAAGGAACGCTCAACTAACACTCTTTTCTCTGCACCACAGCCTGTGCCTCAATAGTTCCGACGTCCCTCCACACGCATTGAACCAATCCAAAACCACACTCACTGTGGACATTCCTTCCCTTGGCCTGACAAGTGGCCCATCTACGCCCGTGACCGCGTTGCACGCCCAAGCAGAAACCACATCCTCGGTGGACAACAATTCCTCCGATGAACACGATGGTACATCGTCGCCTTTCCTCTTCCAACTGGCCCTCGCCTTGCTCAAACTCAATGAAAACGCTATTCTTGCACTCGACTCCGCCGCGCAGGTGTATACGTATATCAACCACAACATGACCAATCACGCCATTAGTATTGATGCGTTGGTACAGGCGAGTGAGGCGCTGAGGACCAGGATCGTGAGGAAGGAAGTGTTGGAGAGGCGGAAACAGGCAATCAAGGAGCTGGGGGCATGAGTGCCACAGCGATTGACATCTACTATGAGTGGGGGTTTTTGACTCGACTATATTTCAGCATGGGGAACGCAAGTCGTACCAGATCACGGCGACGTCGACAGTCATCAGCTTATACCGGACCAGTTCACGGAGAAGAGCAGACAGAATTTCAGGTCTGTGGTCAAGAAAATCAGGAGATCATTACGCGCAATCGTCAACCAGATAGAATGGAGGGGGATGAAGCGGCGGCGCTTCTTGGGCTCGAACTTGAGCTTGGGGGTATGATCAGGATAAGAACATCAATTCTGGCGAAGCAGAGTACCTCCTGGATTCTGAATCTGTGAAGGAAATGAGAAAAGAGTGACGGAGAGAGTATGTGTCTTGAATCGTCAGTGATGTTTCAGAGGGGAAGAAGCCAGATACCCCTGCGCATCCATGCGGTCAGATGCACAAAGCGGAGGAAAAGCGAGGAGAGAGAGGAAAAGAAAAAGGGGGGAGGCAAAAAAGACGCAACAACCTTTTTTCTTTTGTAATCTTTTGCCTTTTGTTTTGCTTTTTTGGCCTTTTTCGGCAAAGAGTTTATTGTTTGTTACCTATATGCACGCATGCTACATGATACCCGCCGAGCACCCGGCCACCATTCGAGGGAAGAAAGAGAGACTGACTGACTGTTGTGAAAGAAAGAAAGAAAGAGCCAGCTAGCTAGGTAGCTTGCTTGCTTTCCTGCTTGCAA